TTACGGGTACTTTCGGGTGCTTGGTTCGTGACCTATAGAACGTGCACCTGAAGTATGACTCTGTGTAATTTTGAATAAGCTTTCAGGGTAGGAGCAAAGTAATTAACATTTTGCTTGGGTTATGGATTAATTCAAGTCGTTATATATGTAGCCTAAAAGGTTGATATTCTTCGTGTTTTTGAAGCTTGTTGAATTGAAATCAATTATTAGCTCACTTTAAGTTGTAGAAGTTGACCTTATTTTATCACGATATTTCATGATATCCTTCTTCAAGTAACTAAAACTTCGAGTACAGGAACAGTGAAAGTTTCGTGACCTCTGAAACCAAACTTAAAACCCCTTCTGATTAGAGAGCATTACAAGATATCAAACCAAACTTTTCAGCCTGATAATAAAGATAAAATGCAAGATACCGAGTCGTTCGTGACCCAAGAGCGCTATTTACGTAATTAACGGCGAGTGGCTTCTTTAGTTAATCGTATAATGTTCAAACATCAGCTAAATTGATATCACTCAGTGTAAAATGTAAAACAACTTGAAACACAAAACAATGCAGAATATCCAGGAAAAATATTACTGAGTTGTAACAATTTCATCATTAATTTGTTGGATAAAAGTGTATTTCGTGAGGCTTGGAATCAACTTCTTTTGTTCCATAAATTATCTTTATTTAAAACCACTTCAAAAATATATTCTCTTTGTAAAAACCATCGCGTTTTTAGATATGGAAATCAAACTCTTTTACCACATATTATATTTCCCACTCATGCATGAAGGCAATGAAATGTGCAAATGATAATTCGTTCGCGGAGAATCGATACGAAATTGTTGAATCTCTTATCACACTTCACACCGCTTACTGAATGGAAATTCTCTCCGCACGCGTCTCGGACAAACCAATCATAGATCGATGGGATTTGAACACACCTTGAAACACAAAAGGAAACGCACATTGTGAAATTTAGCTTAAAATTATTGGCACAACACTAATAAAATGTTACAGAGAGCTTTTTATTATATCTGGAAGCAAAATTAATTTATTTTAAAGAACATCCTTTAAGGAGTTTTAACTAAGTTAAAATTCTCCTTTGACAAGCTGGCAACAAATTGACGTCTCTCGCGGGTGGGAAAATATCTTTATGAATGAACTTAAGCTTGTCACGAATTGTCACCTTTGTGAGTCTTCTTCTTCCGAAATTAAAGGCGGAGTAAACGCGTAAATTGGTTATCAGTTGAGACAGATAGCCGGCTTGGATTTCTCTCTCGCCCAGTTGACGTTACTTGAAATTGCCGAGTGATCGGTCAGTTTTGTCGTAAAGGTTCGGTAAGTGTCTGATTGAATTTGCGATTTAGAAAAAAAATTGCTTTAATATGATCTAGAGATTTCCAGTCACGGTATTTATTGAAGTAATTGTTGTATTTTTATTCCTCATCGAAATTAGTTTAGTTTATAAGGTGAACAATATTTTCATTAAATGATTTCCATATTAGCAAATAACGAAAGGATGCAATTTATCGAAGGACAGACTCAAGTCTTATTTTCAAATCATTCAGCTTCATTCTTCGTTATCCATTTCAACTCAGTCCTTAGGCAGAATACGGCACTGAACATTTCATGTAAATGAAGTAGCTTCTAGCATGAGAATTGACCATGTGCTAGTAACTCAAATAAGCGTGATATTGTGTGAAAATAAACGTGATAACACTTGAGAACACGACAAATTCGTTGGGAGGTTTTGATCGCGTTTTTTCAAATAATTTATTTCAACATTTGCCTCAAAGAGAAAAAAAAGTACAAATCATGATATGGGTTTGCATATTATTAATCTACATTCAAGGTGAGCTGAAGTGTTCTTCTCGAGACAGCATGAAATGTTAATGGTGTGCGAACAAATTTGGAAACGAAGCCGGCTTTTAAGATCTTTATAGTATTCGGCGACTGTATTGATCTCCGATACAAGAATGCTGTTTTCCGAAAAGATTGCGGTTGGAAATGTGTAGATTTGTCTGGAGAAGGTAACTGTAAAGTTTTAAATCACATGAAGAAGAAAAGGCTTCGAACACGGAAAAGATTCGAGCCGGTTGACTTAAAGGACGAGAAAAACAATATCTATATTCCATTTCCCCGAGGAAAGTATTTCAACATTTCTTAGATATCTGGTCGTATTATTTTTCTTAAGCCGTTACGAGCAGGTCAGAGAAAAGCAGGCCGGTTTAAATCTGGTTTAATTTTAGAGTATTTACCGTTAACAGGGATGCAGAATGAGGCACTCTAAGCTCCCAGCTAGGTGGAATTATTTATAATATTATTCACTTTCCATTTCATGATTTGAGCATTTATGTGATAACTATATATTTAAATGGAGATTAGAATCTTTGAGTCAGTCCGGAGTGAAGAAGATACTATCTTACTACACACAGAGCATAGACTCATAGCGTGAATGGGCGAGTTTAAGACACTTCATTTTGTATTTCAGAAAATTTGCCTTTGCAGCCTAGGAATACAAGGTGAACGATAGGCCTGCGATTATACTTATTACTAACATTGGTTTCAAAACTTTCCCTGCCGTATTCTGGTGGCAGAAGTGTTTCCCTTTTGGATCTACGGAATAGCTTCATTCAAAACTAACATCAAATGTATCTTAAGATGGAAACTTACATTTTTCAGATGACTGAACCTATGATGAACGAGTTTCGAAATGTTTTTACAACGGGATTTAGGCAAGATTTGTAAAAGTTCTAGGACGTGCTGAAAAGGTGAAAGAATAAAGCTTGTTTAGTCGCTGTCACTCGGTGATATCCAAGGCAGGTGCTGGAGTTAAGTATCCTGTAAAGATATAAAAAGTGCGCGCGTTTCGAATCACCAACGGAGTTCTATCTGAAATCCCTTTGAAATAAGACAATTTTTCAGTGTGAATTAGCGTGCAAGATTACACCCTGATGGTGGCTTCCGCTGTTTTTTTACCGTGCTTTTACAAATATTCGACCTAACATTGGTATACATTTGAACAGAGACAATGAAGTTGTATTTTTTCTCATCATAGAACCTCATTTCATGCAAAAATGTTTTTCTCTAATTGGTTTCTTTTCACAGGGAGGAAGTTTTTAAACTCAGTTCCCCACCGTATGTATTCACTGCCATGCATGCGATGTTTCCCTTAATCAGCTTTATTTTCTCCATTTAACAGAGATCACTCTCTTTCATCTCTGCTAGAAATGCTATTTACCAAAGAAAACTCTCACTTAAGTGCAAATGAACTAAAAAGTAAGCAGTTTGTAAAGCTGTTGTCATTTCGTGCCTGTGATGAGGTTGTTTGGAAAATATCCACTACTGGAGACAGTGATGAAAAACCCAGATATGCTTAATTTACTAAGTTATTTACTGAACTGCTTAGCAATTCAAACTCCTTGCAATTGCACGGCAACAAACCTGGACATGTGAATAAATTAACTGCTAAGCTTTTCCTTTTAAAGTGTCATGCCTTTAAGCTCACGGGGCCTGAGTTGATCTTCGCCGATTGATGAAGATATTTACTATGATTAGTGAAGCGATGTATTGCGACCTCCACATTCCCCCTGGGCTGTTTTGGTTCGGTGGTATAATGCTTTTGCTGTGCAATGTTGACCCACCAAATTTCAGTATTAAAATGTTTTCTTTTAGAACAGCTCGGCAGTAAGATTTACTTAAGTACTCAAGGATTTTTTTCCGGAATTGCAACAAAAGATGTTGCGTCATGAGGCAAACAAATCAAACATATTGACAAGACTGAACTGAAAAAGGCATACAAATCTAATTCAGCCAGCTAAAGATATTGGTTTCACTTGCCGCCTTTTCACACTGTGTTTTCCAGGTGAATTTTAAGTATATTCATATGTTATGCTAAAATTGTGTTGTGTCTCCGAGTGTGTTCTGCTAACAATAGGTACTATGAATCACATTAACGAGAAAAACTCTACAGAAGGATAAAAAAATAGGTTGTAGCTTATTTGAATAATCGAATATCGTATCAGAATTGTGTATATAGATGGAATATGTATAATTCATTACCACTACAACGACCTCAATTTGTTTTTACTATTTTACTTAGACCAAGAGGAAATAAAGTAAAATTCGGTGGAAAATAAATTAAGAATCCTATTTTCGTAAACCCGCGAGGGATTTGTAACCTTCGCCTGTACGATTCGCTACTAAGTACGAAACATTCCTGTTTAGAAAGAGATATAAACGACTGGCACATGAAAAATAATACACACATCGATAATCCTGTTTCCATTTTTAAGGGAGGAAGCGCTCGACTGGACATAAATAAGGCTTGCAAATTTCTTTTACTTGTTTATCTTCCACAACAATGCAGGGATAGGAAGCCAATCGTGTCAAAAGTGACATTGTGTTTGGAGTGAGGTGAGACTGAATTCATTAGTGTAATTTCTCACAAAGTCCGCGTTGTAGCGACACGAGTTGGTTGGTTGATTTGGTAATAAAATATTTCTTTGCCTGTAAATTCATTGATGGCAAAGAAGTGGACGTCAGCAGGAAATACGAGCCAATCAGGGGCAGTCATTAACCTGTAGCTGCGCTCTGATTGGTTGCAGAGATTGTTCTTTACAAGGTGACATTTATAATCAGACAGACCCTATTCGGCATTTAGAGGCCACAAAAGCCCTCCAAACTGGTCCGGTTTGTACACTCAACAAGAATATCTAACCGATTTTCTTCGATTCACCTAAGCATCGAACTCATCGCCAAATTTACCAAGCTGTCAGCTAAAGAAATCGCCAAATCGTAGGTACATAAAAGGCCTTTCCGTTAATAGATCGAAATGTGTACCTTCTTAGTAGCAGTGAAATGCTTCGCTTTGTAATTTCATTTTGTTCGTGTACTAAGCAAGATAATTTTTCTTTTGCCAAGGGGTTTAGGATTTTTTGCGAGAAAAACTGATTTTAACATGGAAAGAGATCAAAGAGAAACGAGAATAACATCTTAAATGTGTTTGTTTCAGGCCCTGAAGTTACGCTGTGCCGCTGGTTAGATGCTAGAATCGATTGAAATTTACTACTACTGCTACTACGACATCCGAAACTAAACCCAACATGTCACGGTGCTCAGAAAGGTTAGTTTAGCAGCGATCGGGAACGACCTATCTACGGTAAATCTTATTCATGTTCTTTTAAATTTATCGAATTTATATTTGTGACGGCTGATATCCGGTTTAATTCTCTTTTAGGGCAGTCGACAAGTTCGAGTGAATGCCTCGCGCGTCAGTCACTCATTAAATTTATATTCTGTCATTCAATACAAAGAGAACTGTAGATCGTGGCCTTCATGTGGGGAAACCACGATGGTGACTGTCATAACAGACAAGCTAAAAAATCAATCGCTTGAGGACCTCCCCAGCGATGAACCCGAGGTAACATTTGAATTAACTGATATTCATTCGAGAGACCTGTCGTAGGAGCTTTTCCGTTCTGATTCGATCGCGAGTTGACACGAATTTCAATGATGTTTACTCTTCGCTGCTTTGCTTTCAGATAAATGCATTACAGCTCCGAGCCATCTCTTCCCGGAATAACCACGTTTCAGGTAAATTGCATTTTAGATGTTTCGCTTCTGATTGGTGCGAGAAATTGTCTGCAGTTGTATAAACTTTGCTAGGAAATTTCGCCGAATAAAAACTTGCATGTAATCATCAACGCATTGTTTTTGTTCGAATGAGCTGCTACAAAACACATGGTTCACGATGTAATATTTCACTTTGCTTTCAGAATGTCCTATCGCTCACTGTCTGCGTAGAGATGTACGACAGATATTTGGTCATTCAAGGACGCGAAGTTATCCTTCTCATCGACCCGGACGAACATACTGCAATAACTGCTCTGTGACCGATTCATCAGCTATGCACAGTACCACTCAGCCACCCGCAAATAAGAAATTATGTTCTTCTCTGTCGCTGCCGGGGAGTACAGAGGTACAATCGTTGTGGGCTCCGCGAGCTTCCGCGGTATGGCAACCTGTAGAAAACTGCGGGAAAAAACCACGATCGGTATCATGCCCGGACGACAAATTTAAATTGGCCGAGCTGCTGTGGATAAACAACGAAGTGGAATCTATATCAACACCTCCTGCCTCGCCAACACCAAGACCTGCTTCAGCAGATGCTACCCTTGGGGAAAAACACCTTTTTATGAAAAACGAAAGTCCAAAATCTGATCCTACTGGGAGTAAGATTAACGAGAATAGAGACTTGAACTTTAACTGGAAACCGAATCTGTCAGGTTTGCACAGAAGCCGTTCTCAACCCTGTTTCGATCGCAGGAAAAGTGGTGTAAAAAGAAGAATTGAAGACGATTTCGACTCACACAGACCTGCCTTAGACTTGGAGAAAATGGAAGAGGTCTCAATTTTAGATTAATTTATTTCAGAATCGCTTTGACTAAAAAAAATTGTTATTCGTTAGTCCTGATGAGAAGCTAAATAATCACTGAGTAGTTTTGAATAATTTATTTTTATGAATATTTTACAAAAGACGGTTTCTAACTTAGTTGTTGTTTTTTTGTTTTTTGTTTTCATTTACGTAAGAAATGATTTGTGAGTAATTCAGAGCGGCAATTAAACAGAATGTTTTGTTTCATTTGCAGACGTCCTATTTTCGTTGCCAGAACAGAAAAAAAGGACTACGGATACCAAAATACATGGTAATTTAATGACTCGTGTTCGCGGTGAACGCTTTTTCCAGATAATTCTTGATGCAAATTCGTATGTTTTTTATTTCTGTTGTAGAATAAAAAGTGTTCAAGGGAATTAACAAGCTACTTTACTGAGTCTGAGAACTTCACGCTGAAACCAATCACCTCTTCGCCTCTGTACGCTTCAGTCAGTAGTGTTATGATAACCCCGACTTCATCGCCAACAAAACAGCTGGATTCCGAGATCGAAATCATTGAAGACCTCAAAGGACAAAACAAGTTATCAGACCTACAGAATGACGGATTACACAATTTAAACCCCAAAGCTCAGGACGAAGGAATCTTTCCTATAGATTGCAATTCCGACCTTGATTTGAATTCTATCGAAGACGATCTTTTTTTAGAAGAGATGTAACTTTGGGATGTGAAGTATTTTAAACTTTTAAAGTTTGTAAATGAAATCTACGTGGACACTTTCAAAACAAACATTAATTTATTAACTTGTATTTAGATCCCGGAGTTTTATAATCTCCGTGAATATATCCATGTAGAAAAACAGTTCTTGTATATTTTTGCATATATTAAGACTACAAAACGTTGAGAACACGTTTCTTCGTTGTTCTTGCTACGATTTCTTCGGGAAAGAAAGAAAAAGTTCAAGAAAAGATGGTTGGAAAGGAATACATGGATGTTATAAGACATCAAGTAGATTGCTAAAAGAGCTCTGTGGTATTTTAAGGGTTATTTACTTAATGGGCCTAATTGTGGTCACACTCTTTGAGGCGAATCGCATCCGTGGATGTAAACAAAACTTTTTCAAGATGATATTCCAACGCGCCATTTTGGATTTCGCGGCAAAGTCTGAACTCGACCAATCAGACACAAGCTTCGGTGACGTCATGGTTTTGAATAAGCGCTAAAAATGGCGGCCATGTTTGTTGTGAATAAGTTTTTGCAAGATTATGAGTGACTTTGCAGACAAACTTGCCTTTCCAAGGCCTGTTTCGGCTAAGAAAAAAGGTAAACACCAGCTGTACTCGCCTTTTGTGAGGTAAGTCAATTGTTTTTTACAAGTTCAAGGTTAAAATTACTGGGTTTTAGATCACTTTGGCGAAAACACTTATTCAGGTCGGCGACAAGTCAAATAAAAAAGAAAGGACTCTTTTCCCTCAAAAATGTGACAGAATTTTGCCTTCACTTTGTGGAGTTCAGAGTATGGTAAACTTTACCTTTCCAGGGGTCTTCATCCTTGCGTAGAGAATTAAATTTTGAAGTATTAATGACGTTTAATTTTTACGACCACTCTTGCAGAAACGTGTTTATTCCAGCTAAATTGAAATACAACAATAAGCTAAAATTATTATTGTTTATAGAGAAGACGAAGATTCTTTTCCTCCGCGGTGGGGATCTATTTTTGTCTAACAATGAGTATAATTGCTTTTCTCCAAATTTGCGGAAAACTTGTCGCCAAATCTAGGAACACTTAGATCCGAGTGGCAGAAGTTCCTATTTCGTCCATGATCGTTAGTGCCTATGGTTGTGAACCCGACATTTCGATGGCAAATATTCAATCTTAATGTGTATGCTTAATCAGAAAAATTGTTTACATCTTTGCACTAAGCGCAATATAGACGGTTGTCTTTGAGATATATTTGCAGCTCAATTAAACATTAGGCAAAATGCCCTGGAGTAATACGAATTGCCAAGGCCAAGGAATAACCGAGCAACCGATACTGCGATAAAGAATGGGCCACTTCGATTTCCGTAATAAACGAAGTGGTGTAATACACAAATATGCCGATTGATTGTTTTATTCTTTTGGTTAGTGAAAGCGGTCAGATCAAGAAAAACCGACCAAATAAAATGCGCTTAAAAATTCGTTTTGTCACTTTCCATGTCAGTTTTGTTAACATCTCTTTGATTAGGGAAACCCTTTTGTGTATTTCTCTAACTGTCAGATCACAATGAATATGTATACGGTGTGTATATTTTGCAGCCTGGTCCAATATTTAACTTGAGTTCTACTCTATGTTTTTATTCGATCTGGTTTTAAGTGGATTTTAGCTCCTCAGAGCATTCGTATATTGTTCGAGTTTTCGTGACTCCTTTTAAAAGCTAGACCCGGCGAATTTGATGTTTACACAAATTGCTCAACGGGTGACAGGAAACTCTTTCCGTTCTTGCAAAATTATCATCTGATCATTATTTTATGCATATGGGTTCCTGTTTTTATCCTCTGCTATCTCTGATAGTAAAAAATTAAAAAGGAGCACACAAATTTTCTAGATAAGGCGACATTATTTTGTCGAATATACTAAGGCTGTGACAAGCTTTTGTACTCATTCGCATGAAACCTTTTTTCACAAAATAGCAAGGTTTCTCTTGAAATAGGCTTGTAGGTATTTTCTATTCAGAAGTTACATGTTGTGGTTTAAGTAAGGTATCAGGTATCCTCTGGTAAAACTTCCGAATACATTTCAGTCAACCTTTGTCAAGGAAAAGTTATTATGGCTAATCTAAGCAGCATATTGACTTGTGATAGTAGGTTATCTTTTGTTAGAAAATTGTCTGTGGACAACTGTATTTTCAAAGAAATTACAGAAAAAAATTAACCAATTCATCACATGGAATGTATTTCCACATGGTTAATTTTGGCATCTTTGTAAAGTGGACTTCAGGATAGTATTTATAAACAAGCCAAATATGTATGATGTGACAAAAACAGACATCAAATGTGTGAAGGTTGACACAAACAGCTCAAACTGTTGCTGACAGCCAATAGGCTTTCTTCAGTACAATGTATGTACACCTGGGGTTGGGCTGCTCCAACCTGTCCTTATGTGTAATTTTGAAGGCTTTAATCATGAATGGCCTATTAAATTGCACATTTCCTAGCAACCAAAGTGCTACTTTAATTTTACTGAGTATTGTGTTTAAGAAACAAGAAGCTTGGCTTCAGTATCCGTTGAACTTTTTTCAAACTGAGCCTTGTTGTTATAAAAAATTGATTATTTAATAGTATTGTTTGAAATTTGTCTCAAAAACACCAAACTTCTCATGTTTATCTGTCACTGTGAGACATTCCTATTCATCAATGTCCTTGCTTCACACAGGAAAAAAAAGGCTGTAAATTGATGTCATTAGTCATGGATCAGTATTGTGTATTTTAGGTCTTCAACTCTGTGTGAAGAGTGATAACTTGAAATAGAGTGTAAATCAGCATTCTATTCACTGTTCTTTCATGACTGGTTCAGTTAGAGATTATAAGCAAAAAGTATAATATTAAGAACTGTGTGCAAATCATTGCTAACTCTGTGGAACCTTATCTCTGACTTATAAATCATAAAACAGTGTCTGGTAAGTTTCTTACACAGCAATGGTAAATGTGTGCACACTAATAATTGTGCATTAATTATCATGGAACAAAAATGTCCCATTAGATAATTTAGATTTTAGCTCCTGCAGTGTAAGCTGTAAGCACAAGTTGACATACAAGGAAAACACTGATTTACTCTAAAATATGTCTGGAAGAATAGGAACAGACCACTCTCCTAGGCAACCACTTCCCTTGAGGAATCAATTTGTGAATAACTTTTTGTTAGTGAAATCTTTTTAAAAAACATTTTATAGTTGCTATAGCTGCTCAAATTTCTTGTGCAATAACAACTACTAAGATTTTCTCGGAGTGTGTTTGTGTGTGTTTCTAATTGGCAACCTCCCAGGTGCAGCAAGAAATAGTAATGAACAGTCATTTATGATATTGCATGATATCCATTTGATGGGAATCTTTTATTTGAAGAACTCCATGTACTTTTTTCCCTTAGGAAAAAAATATAAGAGCAGAAATAATCAAATGCTTTAAGGTTTTTGCTTGGATTTTTCTCTTGAGCAACCATGTTTTCCTGCACCAAAGGTTGTTATAAACTAAGATGGTTGACTGTATTCATATTAATGCTGGGAAGACTTTGGTGGCAAGGCCATACCAAATCAGAGCTCATTAGCTTTGGTAAATCATTAGCTTTGGCAAATCAATAGCTTTGGCTAAGATATTAACTTTGACTGTTTTGATAAGTGCATCAAGCAGCAACTCTTTTGAATAAGGAAATTATTTTGGGTACTTTATTGCCATGTAAGTGGCCAATTGGTTGTTCAATAAGCTGTGACATTTTTATGACTTAGTTTTATGGTCCCAAGTCAAAGTGAGTAAAAATTTTTCCTAAAAAGTTTTTCATGCTCTTTTATTTTCTCCCCTTAAAACATGTTTCTTCCTCTTTGGTTGGTTGAATATTGAGCCTTGAGAGGTTGGGTGAATTTTCAAAAATTAATGATAGCCATGCTCGATATTCTTAAGACTGGAGGTGTAATCAATATTTCATGAGCAAATTATTATTTCTGGTTCCCATTTCAAGTTGCTGTATGGCAACTTTGAAGAAAGTTGGGGTTGGATCCCTGTTGTTCTCTCCTGATATATTGTTCAAGTTGTTTGAACAAATCCTCAAAAAGAAGAGTCATAGTTGTACCACAGTATTGTTAATGTTTGTTTTAATGTCTAGGGGCCTTAAGGAAGACTATGGTAGTAGACTGTGATTATGCACCCCGGATAAAAGAGGTGTTTGGTTATTTGTATGTTTGTGTTCAGTTCTCTTTGTTATTAGTGTGGGAAGACAGATTTTCACTTGAAATGTGAAAATGTTGTCTCATTTTAAAGTCTTCAGTCCTAAATGCTGTGTTAGGGTGATAGTGTAGTCTTTGTGGTCTTTATAGCTCATGGAAATTATTGGGACTAGAAACAGTTGAGCTGATCAAGTGATCCTTAATAAGGTTATTTAGTAAAATAGAAAGATTTCTATTGCAAACCACTGTTTATTGGGATTCCATGGTAGCAGTGTTAATACAAATCCTTGTGCACTAAGTCATGTGAAGCCTTTCTTCAAAAATTGTGCTAGTTGTTATTAGTGTTTGCTTTTAACCACGTAGACCTGATGTGGTATAAAAAGTCATTCAGGGGCATATATTTTTTCTTTGACTTAGTAATAGAGAATAGTTTTTTTCCTTATTTCTCCCATGTGTTTAAATCCCATTGTCATTTCCCATACTTATCAGAATGACTTACTGGAACATTTATATATTTAAAAGCAAAATAAGAGAGCACCATGTAGTAAAAGCAAAAAGTTTTTGATCAAGTTCATTGCTAAATGAGAGCATTCTTGTCATTAATATGCTAGAAATTTCCAAATGAACTGTTGATTTTCTCAGCTGTGGTCTGTTTGTTTTTCTGATGTAATCATAGTTTGAATTACAAAGACAGAACTGTCTGTGATCTATGGAGAGCAATCAAAAGCAGTCATGATTAAACTTGCAAATGAAAAAAAAAAAAAACAAGAGCAGTAATACAATCTACACTGTACATGACGCCATTTGGATATCAAGGGTTTAAAAGCCTGAAAAAAAGCAGAATTACATTTAGTTGAAAGGTTGAGCTCCAATGTTCTTTGCTCTGTCTCATTTATTTCCAAATTATTGTTATGTCTGGCAAAGTGTGTGTTGATTAGTTTATCCAGACTTTCTACCTTTCCTGTTTATTCAGATTTTTTCCTCCAGTGAAACAATATCTGTCAAATTTATACTAAAAAATAAAGTTTTCAAGGAAGTGCTTTTTAAAATTAATTTGTAACATATTCCCCATAATTGTTAATGTCATTATGGAACAATTTTCCCACTGTTGGACCAAGCAGCCTCTAAGTCTTACAGGATTATGTTGTTGTTTCAATTTATGTAACCACAGAAATATAATATTAGTTTGTATCAATTGTTTGGCATGTTTGGTTTCACTGATAAGTTTACATTTCACCATGTGTTCAAATACTACTCAGCCAGTTAACAAATTCCTCCCTTTGAAGTGTCCTTTGTGTCTCATTGTAATATTTTAATATTAATATGAAGGGTGAAATCCTCCATTAAGTCACAAGTACTAAAAAAGACAACTAAATGGAAGGAAGATGTTTAAAGTTATGGAAAATTTTTATTGCTTTGGAGTTTGTCACTTTGCTCTCTTTCACCTGATTTCTTTGAAGTTGGCATCTTTTTATGTTAATTTGTTACTAACCTGAATCAAAATCAAACATTGGCATGGCCAGGTGGCTCTAGATGATTCTTGGTGTTTACTTTGAAGTTTACACCTTTGAAATAAGTTATTTGGCGAAGTTATTGATATTTGACTGTCTTCTTTCGTCTGAAAATTTGACAAGTGTGAGGAACTTCATCATAGTGGAGAGAAGAACCTGTTTTGTTGGCAGATACGTTAAGACAATTCGAGCAGAGGTCATCTTTCATCGAAAAGTAACCTTTGTTGTGTGTTTGGGTTTGTCCATGGTCAGGGTAATCTAAAAGTCCATAATGGGCTTATGCAGAACAATATCATGCTGTCCTTGTTTACCTTTAATTTGAAATTTTTACTCAAGAATATTAAATTCAAATTTATTTTTTTGTGGTGCTAATTTCATGCCAGTCGTGAGAGTTAAATTACAAAGGACAGTGACTCTTAAAGATTAATAGTCCACAATTAGTGTTACCTATGTTTAAAAGCAATTTAAAGTAGAAATGCCATAGAAATTTTTTTTGTGACCTCTTGCTGAGAACATTGTTCTGTAATAAATATACACAACTTTAAAATTATTACTGCCTTTGATTGCTGTTTTATTTTTTCATCTATGTCATAATTCCTGCTGTTGACAAGAAATTTGAATTTGGAGCTAATAAGTGGACTTTGTTGTGGATTCTTCAGTCATTAGTTTTACTTTGTTGTTGGTTACCTGTCAGCCCCTGTCATCACAGAGCCTTGTAGTGTTAGAAAAATCTACACCTTCTAGCTACCTTATCACTTTTGTGGTAAGAGTAGGAAGGAAATATAGTACATGTAACTATTAGCAGTCAAGTATCTTTTCCCAAACTGTAACAATTTATTTGGAGAGAATTGTCAGTGATGGTTAATACCCTATACTAAGGGAACCACAAAATGATATCTAATAAGCTTATCATCAAAGGAACATAAGTCATGCGTTTTATGCCTTCCCTTTTTAAAGTGAATGTTTGACAACTTAGTTTTAAACATACCTGTAGAAAAGGTATAATAAAATCAACCTTAGGCTTAAATGTTCATTAATTTGTTATAAGATCATTTTGCTCAAAAGGCTCTACATGTATATTGATTCTTAAGAGTATAGTGCCTCATGCTCAAGCAGCAAACATTTTGTTCTTTCAGACAAGGAAAAAAAATCTTGCTACCAAATTTGCAGCTTTAGTTGCAATTTGACATACTGTGATTGGCAGTCCTATAGCAAGTTGTAATATTTTCATCATTTATTGTTCATAGTCCAAAGTTAAATTGTGAAGAAACATTTGCATGACATACTTTTTAATGCTCCTTTGTTTCTTCATTAAAAAAATTCCTCTTGGTCATGTAAGCTCCATTCCAAAGTTTTAGATCTACTGGGCTGGCTTTGTTTGTATAAGCCACACATTTGTCACTATGTGATGAAGGACAATGTTCTCAGGCACAGCTGAGTTTAATGCTCTTGGAAGCTCCACCCAAACAATTTAAGGGGAACTAGGCATGTGCTGATATCCTATTCTGGCTAGTTTAGAGGAAAATTTCCAGATGTCAAAAAGAGTACAATTTCTTCAGTCTAGTAAAGTTTATGTTGCATATGATTAATCTGTTGTCACAAAATTATGGATACTTTACAGTTGTGCAAGGTTACGGAAGGTGCAGGAGCTGTTAAGGTGCGATAAAAATCAACTTTCCAAGATAGATGGCATCCTCTGTATACTTGGTAAGAGTGCAAATGAAAAAAACAAATATTTTTCAGTAGCCACCCATAGGTCTATTGTTAGGCCATGCAAGTAACTTTGCTGTCCATATATATGTAGTGTACATGTAATGGTGACTGAAATTAAAATTTAAAATTTAAGTAATTTGTGTTATTTCACTGTGGTATAAAACATTTCTAGAGATGACTTTGTGTGCTGCTAGTGGTGACTCCACCGGTTGGCTGTCCCATCTGAATGTTTTTGAGGTGCATTTTTGACCCCTGGCCATAGTAATTGTGTTGTATCTTAGGCATGACATCATATTGTCACACGCAAATAGTCATGGGTATGATTACACACCAGCAAACTGGATGGAAAACCTAGCCAATTTGGGAAACTTTTAATTCCATTCAAGAGGGGTAGCATATACAAGATGCTTCCAGGAAAGTTTTCACTAGTAAAAAAGTCAGGCCAAAGCCTATTACTCCAAAGATCTAATTGTTAATTTTGCTGCTACACATTTCCTTGTTAATTAGTTATGAGAAATTGGTATTTGATCAGGATTACAACCTTTACCTGATAAGTCTCAGTGTTTTGTATTCCTGTTTGCCAAATGATGTATGATAAAAACAGCCATTCATTTTTCTTGATCTAATAAGAAGGTGAATATGTTAATTTAGGCTCTGTTTTAAGAAAGGACAACTGACAGGCAAGTCTGTTTTAGGCTGTTCTAGCACTTGATTAAAAATGTGCATATATCAACATCTGACAAGTTGTTTGTGTAAAAATTAACTACCAATATTTTTATTGAGCCTTTAGCTGCCCCTTTGCACATGTTTGATAATTTGTTATAAACAAATGATATTATCTTCCTTTTTGCTTATACAGGTATTGATAGCAGGTAAGATACCTGTACTTCTCTCATTACCATATTTTCATGTTTGATGTTGTTATGGTTTCTTTAATTATTTGTGAAAAAATATATTTAAATTATGCTGTTTAAACTTACGAGCATTAAATTATTATTATTATTATTATTATTATTAATAAATCTTGAACAAAGTTAAAACCTTTTGATCACCAGTAATTATTAATGACAATTAATGGGACTGTTTTAGGTACAATGGTGGAACCAAAAGCCTTCTCAACTACTTACTCTTTGGCTTTTGTAAACTCACACCAGTGGATTTTAGGTAAGAAAAAGAATGGTGAGAGTAAACCACAGATGTGAAATGCAGTCACCTCTGAACTTTTCAAGCAGGCATTCACACAAAACATATCCATAGGCCACACTGAAGTGAGAAAATTTCTTTTCAATTGGTATGACATTACTGTTGGTTTAAGTATGTGGAAACATGTATTCTGGTGCAAGTTCTTGGTCTCATTTCTTTGTGTCAAAACAATCATATTCCCTTTCTGACCCAGTCAATTATATAAAAAAACATCTGAGAATAATACTAATTTAACAATTGTGATGTTTATTATTACAGTGGAAGTAAAATTACAGAAGAGGAGCTAGAAGGTAATTGTATTTCCAATGCATATTTGTACTGCAACATTGTTATTCTTGATTATAACCATCATGTTAAAATTTGTTTTCAATTTATTGGTACAGTCGTGCTGTTTTATAATTTTTCCTGAGGTTTTTATGGTCAGGTGTTTAGAGGTAATGAGGATGGACACAGTTTATCCTAAAGAGGGAGAGTTGTAACAAGCAATGTTCTACAGTTTTGTTGTTTTAGAAGAATTTCATGAAACCCATGTTTGTTACTTATAATGAATACACTGATGCAGTATGAACTATTAGCTAAAAATGTCCTTTTGATGTTATATGTTTGTTGGCAGACATTCTGGTTGTTGTGAAGGCAGAAAGTGTTCATGTGTACTGTAATCCAATCAACTATCCTCTGCTGCTGCCACGCATTGCACATTGGAGGAATCTACGTGTCCACTGCCTTGACAAGGAACTGGTACTGTGTGTGTTTGTGTTAATAATAATAATAATAATAATAATAATAGTAATAATAATAATAATAACAATAATCTCTATTTGAAATGCAAAATAATGGATCAGATAGACTAAAAAGACTATCTGGTATTAACCCATGTGCATATATATATAGTATAAAATCTGTATATAATAAAATTATAATAAATACATAAAAAAGGACTAAAAATATCATGATACAAAATAGTAAAAATAAGAATTTACAAGAATAAATAAATTATAACATAGTCCTTATTAGTATCTATAACATATTTTCTATGAACATTGTATTAATTAAAAAAATAATAATTCAACTAATCAGTTAAGCCAAAGAGCATTTATGTTGATTGTGATTCTCTTGTAATAAAAATTCAGAGTTTACTTTAAAAGGTGCTGAGATTTGTTATAGTTCTGATATCCCTTGGTAGAGAGTTCCAGTCTCTTACAGCAGCAAATTCAAAAGTTTTTTCACCAAAACCCGACTTAGCATTAAGAACATTCAGTAAAGAGTCATCTCTCAAAGAGTGAGAGCAAATACTCAAACGTTTTATAGGTTTGTCTTGGAATTGCTTCAGACAATTAATATCATTCACTATTTTAAATGTATTTTTTAAATATTGTGACTTGATTTGCCAAATATCCATTGAAATGTTCAGACCTGGCTCTGTTGCATCCTCCTATAAACAGTGAGTGAACCTTCATGAAAACAACATACATGTAACTTGTAGCCCTGGGTAGACTAGATTAATTTTATTAACTAGTTGGTAAAATAAGACAAAGAGTGCTACATCTTGATTTTAATTTTTCTGTCTTTGATGACAATTTGCATTTAGTATATAGATAATGAAGAGAAGGCTGAAGAATTCAAGATTCTAAGTTTCATATCCATGGTAGAGGGGTGTGATTGTCTTGGTATACCATATGGAGGTATGTAGGATTGCCATTTCTACAGTACCGCTTGTGTACACTCTAACCTAAAAACAAGAATAAAACGCACTAAAAATCGTTTGCAATTGGAAATAAAAAAAATTGTGCACATCAGAAAATTGCACATGCACACATGGCTGAATACATCTGCCTCATCAGGTATGTATGAGGTAGTCCTTTTGTTTGATATTGTTGTTGGCAGTTTATTGTTTTAAAGAATAGGTTACAATGTAATAGCACTAAATTACAACATGGCTACTGAGGACAAACAAACTTGTAGCTATTCATTGTTTCATTAGATAAATGTTTTTTGGGGTAGTTTATGATGACTGCAATTGTTTTGTCAGCTTGTGTTTTCTATTGAACATGCATGTTGTGTACTGGATGAAGTGTAAATATTTACCATAAAAGCTACTGGATCTTGAACTTTTTAGATTATGTAAGAAGTGACATTATAATGGAGAACTACTCAAATGTGGCCGTTAATTTCCAACTGTTTTGCACTGAGTATCCAGACTGTGAAAGAATACAAGTCTCTTGGAGAAAACCAGTATGTTAGCCTAAAAACTGACATCCCTGTAAGTAGTAAGCTAACAATATGTTGTTATTTATTAGTACCCACCCCTGGTGATCAGCAGCCTTGTTTTGACCCATTTGTTTTGGAAAAATGGCCCCTAATTCAAGCATTTGCACTGGAGGGTTTTGGCAGGTAACATATACCTTTCTCACCTGATAACTTTTTGCTTCCACAGTCTACTGTATTAATCACTTTTAATAAATTTTTGCTTGTAACAAAACTGTGCTCTGCTTGTTTTTGTTTCCCTTGTTTTTATGTAGTCTATTGTCATGTCTTTAAGGAGAGTGTTATTTGTATGATGCAATAATCATTAATTTATTATCTTTTTGCCTCTGCAGTGGGGGATTTTTCACTATGAAGCACAGGGTAAGAGGAAATTTTGGTTGACAGTAAGTTTTTACAATAACTCTACCTTGCAAAGGTAAGACTGATTAGTGTGGCTTTTGGAGTTAATCGCAGTTTTGGAAACATAGAATGATCAGATATGGCATCCTTCTTAGAGGGGCTAATACTTTCCTCTTTAACCCCCCCTCCCCTCCCTATCTGGTCAGTGTTGTGCCCCGTTATACCCCTTGATAAAGAAGAGCCTTGTGGTGGTAAGATGTTGTCGAGGACATGGCTGTCCACATCATTTGTGATAAAAGAATCTTTAATGATTACTGTATTTATCAATGGTTAGGTCAGTGATGTCACTCAAGAACTGGACCAGATTTATGGCTTGTTGGACGCTGTGGCTGTAGAAACCCTTATCACGGAGGTAACTAGTATTAATGGCTAATTTTGTTTTTAGTCTGTTTATCTACAACAAATTAAGTAATTTAGGAATCACTGTTTGATTGAGTGTTGCACAATACATACAAAAAAAAGGCATCTCAATGGCTAGCCTAAGAAGTTAAATTTAGGGAAAGAAAACTGCATGAAGTGTGGAAAAAAGCAAGTGACCAACTTTGATTGGTTTTAGTCTTGAATGTGGTTGGTTGTAACAGTGGCACACATTTTCTGGACAAATCACAGAGCAAAGTAAGGCAAAACCAAAGCAATTGCAGATTACTCTGGACACTCAATTGAAAATTGTTGTAAGAATTAAACAGGGTACATTTTAATTCAGTAGTCACCGTTTTAAATCTCTCTAGGGTTATAATTCCATCCTGAACATATTGAAATTAGTTTTAGAATTAAATTTAGTCACTAACAAAGGTGTACTATATTTTCTTTCCCTGCTTTCCTCCAGACTCTTCCTTTGTTTGAACGTCATTGTAAATCCATTCTTTCAAATGTGGATGCAGAGAGGTGAGTGTAACATAGTGTTACTGTGTCATACCAGCTAACAGTCTCTGTGAGAACCATGGTAGGAGGGAAGGAGGGAGAACAATGACTACCCACTGTACTGTAATTGTTACAATTGTAATTGGATGGTCCTGGAAGGCATTTATACGTTATAATCCCAACTTTCCTTCAAAGTGTCACATAACTAGCTTTTTACTGTATTTTTGTTAACTTTTCCACAAGATTCAGTTTGGTTCCTGTTTTGATCCCTTGTATTCATGAAAGTTGGAGTTGATTCTTGGTGATTCAAATGTGCCATCTAAATATCTTAAACAGGTTTTCGTTAAGGATGAAATCTCTTTATTTCTTGCAGCCCAACTGAGCTTCTTAAAGTAACAGAGAGAAGTTTGAGCGAGGTTAGTTGCACACCTGGCTTAGAAGGAACTATGGTGAATATTTTCCTCACTGTGTGATTGTTTGGTGACAAGGACACATGCTAAAATACTTTTAAAAATGACACTAGCTGGGTGCAAATTTGTGTTACTCACTCAGTTGTGGTGTTTAAGCTGTTATTTGTTAAATATACATCGTAGTCATGATATGATTTGTATCAGCCACTTTCCCTTTCTTAGCTGAAGATCAAGGAAAGAGTAACACCTGTTTATATATGGGAAGCTTAGGTATGACATGGTCAATTTTGAGAAACTTCCTTGCTGTCATTGTGTTTTTATTCTTGAAGCCCATTGTGAGTTACTTTACTCATGGACACATTGTCGACAGGAGCAGTGCTAAGAGGTAATACTCTAGTTTGGACAAGAACTAAATGTCTATTTAAAAAAGTACACAGCTTCTGTAGAGAGCGATTTACACAAAGGTTTCAAGAAAGACTGATTTTGAATTATAAATGCTCAATATACATGAGGCCTGTAATTGAGGTCATATTGTAGAAGTTGCACTTGACCTCTTGATAAGTATCTAGCGATGTGTTCTGATGATGAGTTAATGTAGCAATAAAAGTAAAACAGAGTCAACTGCCTGAAAGAAATCTATTGATTTACTATTGACTGATTGATTTGTTCTCCTTGCAGTTCCCCAGAAGATTCTCAACCTTTTGTTCTCCTGGGAGCCCACTCCACAAGAAAAAATATACACAGTTGCGAAAAAACCACTTCTAATAATAACACTGCAATTGGAAATAGTGGCATTAATGGTGCTCCTGCTAAACATATGGTGAGATGTCAGAAAATTTTTATCTAAGGACAATACCCTTGTTTACAAATGCAACATTTAGTTGGACAGGCTAGTCAAGTAGGCTGAACTAATGCTCTCAATCCAAAATAGTAGACACGCAACCTAAACTACAACAATAACTTTCAGCCTTAAACAATTTTTCAAAGGTCTCTTTTGCTGTGGAACCTAAAGGAAGAATAACTTGTGCAAGAACATATTTTCTACAAACTGAATGTGCACTATGTTCAGTGAGCGATGCAGCAAAGAATGAGTCAGTTATGCATAGTAAGGACTTGAGGTATGTAACATTGGCTATTAACAGCAAAGCCTAATAAACAGTAGTAAGTTATTTTAGACTTTGCACATACCTCTACAATATATGTGGAAGGACTTGAACACTTGTCTTCTTTATTTAAATTCAGGCTGCTAATGGAACTTTATCTTCTGTCAATTAATGCTGTGTTGGAAGGAGTCAAGACATTTTCACAAACATTTAATGAAAGAAAGGTAAATGACACAATGGCAACTGAAACCTTATAGGAAATGAAGTGTTTTTGATCTTTGCTTTTACTTTCCCTCACCTCTTTTAAGAGTTACTCAAGTGTTCTGTCAGAGCTCAAGCGAGGTTTGGAAGAAAGACATATTGAAGTGAAATCTTCCTTTTTATCCAACAATGTGAAGTTTTCTGTGGAAGCTTGTGATTTTTATGGGAGGTACATATTACTTTCTGCTATTGAATTGTTTACTGTCAAGAAATTAAACTTGCAAATTTAAATACATTTTGTAAAGTTTGTTAATTATTATTAATACTAATTCTATTATCTTTCATTTCTAGGAGTGTTGATTTACATGAGGATATACCAATCTCTGGTATTAAAAAAGTAAGCTTTTAGTATTTAGATATTTAAAACTGACTGTTTACATTTAATTCGTAGAGTTTTATTGTTATTCCTTGATACTGTGTACACTGTATGCATTGATAACATTGATCTTCTGACAATTTTTTTGTTTTTGCCTTCCCAATGTCTTCACTTTTCAAATTGTTTTTGCTTTATTGTGTGTTGTTTCAGGCATGTCTGTATTTGTATGACATACCAAGTATAGAGCACCCTGGGCAGATCTTGGGTTCTGTGGTGTTTGGTGAATCTTTCCTTGACTCTGCCATAAGGACACTTGTCCCAGGTACACAGTGGATGTTTGCTTAACCCAAATCAGTTCTCATAATGCTTAAATCAAGTAGTTAGAGCATGCTTGGTATTATGTAAGAGAATCACAGAGCCATTGAAACATGAAGTGAATGTTTGGCATGATTTCCTTGTTTTCCAGATGGGTCACACTTATGGGACACCTCGTTTGTTTTCCTGACAGAAAACATCCCCAGATTTGTTACATGGCAGGTATAATAAGATATTAAGTTTTTCTGTGTTTTAAACATGCCATTGCCATAGTATTATGATTATTCTCTTCTCTTGAGACGACGAGTGGCCAAAAAAGTATTGTAATATGCTTTCTATTCTCCCAGGGGTATGGCAAAGACAGACAGATTTCTGAGGAGATTGAGTCATTTGCCAAGGTGACTTTGACCAGCATGACTTTTAAATGTTTACTTAAAATAAAGCATTTTGACACAAGAAAATGCATATCTCAATAACTGAAGACGATTACATGGGTTAGTATACTTGATTCCTGTTGTTTCATTGTTAACTCAAAATAATTAGAAACACATCTTACACATCCTGTTTATTATTTTCTCTGTTTACAGTCAAAAGCTGATAGCGATGTTTTAGGAAAACAGTTACTGTGCGGTAACCAAGTTTTTATTTCAAGTTTGGTGAACAGTTGGGAAACAGGTTAATTCAGATTCTTTTCTTATATATGTATAATTATGAAGTCTTGTGTTTTCTTTTGGGAAAGGGACGTTTGACTTTTGACCCTTGATTTCTGATTGAGATCCAGGGTACATACTTCCTTTTCAACAAGAGACTTACAGGATTTATTGAAAATAAAATCACTCTCTTTATTTCCATGACAAGTGAGATGCTTTTGAAGGGGCTACTTTGAATGTACTTGACCTTAAATTAAATTAAGATTATGAATTCTACTCGGATATACATGTATAAAATAAATACAAAGGATATCAACGCCTGTGCTGTTGATTTCCAGGTTCGCTGTTTATCTATGAGCAAGGCTTTGTGTTTGTTCATCCCAGAACTGGTTCCATTGTGCTACAAACGTCCAAGATATCTAAACTTCAGTTTTATGACAAGGTATGGTTTTAAATGAACGTTCCTTTGGTTGCCTCTTTTGATTTGTAGTTATTTATACCACTGCTAACTCAGAAAAGTGACTTGTGAGTGAGGAATTCTAATATATGTGTTTACTTTTTTTCGGTAGGACACGTCCTGTGCTCTCCTGATCATTTCATATCATCCCAGTTCAAAGGAAAGTCTACCCTATTACCTTACAGCCAAACAGAGTCACGTGCTGTTGGCTCTCACGCCTCGTTCCAGAATTTACAGACAATTTTACTCTGATGTGATCCGCCTGTGGAAGGAAAGGCAGCTGCCAAACTTTCCACAATTTGAAACTGTTGACGGTAAGATAGAGAGATTTCCCTCTGAAGCTTGGTAAAGAGGTTTTACTCAGGCTTACTCCAATAAGCATAGGCTTTCTCACTCTCCGAGATAAGTTTCTTTTCATTTTCCTATTTGGGCATTGAATAGTTAGAGGTTTAACTCATCTTTTTCTTTTTCATTTTTTTTTCACGCGCTTTCAGATTTGCCCTACGATTTAAAAGAACAGTGAGTATGAATTTTTTGAGAATTGCATGTATCCTTTCATTTTGATGTGTATGTTTTGGTTCAATTTTATCCTTGGTTCAAATTTTATTTTCCTTTGTTTCAATCTCATTATCATACATTACAATACCCAAAAACAAAAGAAAATAAAATTTGAACCAAAGATAAATTTGAACCACAACATGTACATGTGACATGAGTGATTGTTCAATTCTTTTAGGCACGTGAATTTGCAACAGTTGTTAAAGCTTTCAAGAGGATCGAATATACAGGATCTATCTACAGCTGAAGTCCTGCTAACAAATTTAAAAGGGTGAGGATAATTCTTGTACAAGTTGCTTGATGTGATGCGCCGTACTAAACATTGGCGTGATGTATCACGTACAATTACTTTATTCTTCTCGTTTTATTTCAGTTTCCTGTGTCATTGCTCCGTGAGCAGTTCGTTTGGTAACACGCCTGTTATGTGTGATGGTTTACCTGTGATTCTAGGAAATAAGCGTGTAGAACAAGGGAGGCAGTCAAGGGATTTTGAGGTAAAGGAAAGTTGGTTGTTATTTGAGATCCCCTGGACTTGTACGAGTAGGATCCCAGTTGTAATGGTTATGATTTATACGGGACACGATATACAGGCATTCAGTGTTAAAAAGGCTGAAGATTTAACACTACAAAAGTAAATTCAAGATGAATTACTATATCCTCTTCGTTTCATTGATTCACTTTAATTCAGCTGCGTTGTTTGTTGTTTTTCAGTTATTATTAACCATCCTAACTGGTGTCCCTGGTAGCAGTAAAGAGTCTCTGTGTTTAGCTCTTGTAGCACTTGCCAAGGAAAACAGCAAGTATGTTAAATGTTTATAATCTGTTTATGAGGACCTGTATGTTATTTATACTGATCATGAACACGGTTCTTATTTTATGACAGGTGGATAATCTTACAGAGGCCAGTCAGTAATTCAGATACTTTTGACCCTAAAGGTGTGTTGTCTAGTATCTTAAGCCAGGCTTGGTGTTGTCAGTCTAGATATTTTTGGTCGGTAATTTTTCACTCTCGATACGGAACTAACAGTTTCTGAGGAACTAACAGTTCTGAGGAACAAACGGAAAGAAAGTCATCTTTTGACGAATATGGAGAGAAATGGCCTCGCCTCGTTCTTATAATTAGAGAGTACAATGATTTCGGGTTTTAATTACAATGTTAGAGTAAGACTTCAGAGTGTGATTTCAGAGTAGTTTGTAAGGGAACCTAGACCCTTGTTCTGCATGGACGTGTATATCCGGGACCTATCCTTTTTCCGCGAAAAAGAAGGGGAGGGTGGGGTGAGTAAGAGAGCACAGCGTTATTGTTTCGAATTGAAATTGCCTTATTACGTTAACTTTATTTCTCTTCGTTAGGATTTTAGCCCTGGTCCTTCATCAGGAAACTTTTTTCTCTCAATTTTGTCTTCTTTTATTGTTTCAGTTTTACAAGAATCACTGACCACAACTTTGTCAAGTCAGCGACGCCTGCATGCCAGGCTCTCAGCCAGCGGTAGACGACTGCGAGTAATTGTGGTCACACCAGGGTAAGGCGCTCCGAGTAATACCGTGAAGTTATGGGGGGGAAGTAGTGTTGAGTTTGTCAGAGAATAATGAGCTCTTTCGATTGTTTGTAAGGTTCACTGATGTAGCAGAGGTTATTCAAGCAATAAGGACTCACCCTGATGCTGAGATGTCCAAGTGTGTCAAGATTGGTGCTGTCACATGCTGTGTAGACCCGCTTAATACCTTTATGGAGCACAGGTGAGAAAATCCATGATACAGATATCGTCTGAGTGATATTCTTTCCTAACTTGAAAAACATTCATGGAAAGTCATTTGTTTGTTTGTTTGTTTTTTCAATAGACTGACATTGCCTATGCTACTGGAACAGTGCGCTCAAGGTTTGTGACAAACAAATTCAGTTCTTACGATGTGCACGTATTGTTCTGAGTGTAGAGACTCTATCAACACATGTCGCAATTGAAGATGACCGGATGAAAGAAGCTCTCTTTGTTAGCTCGAGCGTCGGACAACAGGCTTTTTCCACACATGTACATTAAAGGGAATTACTGAATTGACTCATATCTACGAGTCCAACTAAGTTTTTGTTCCATTTTTTACAAGAACGCTAGTATGTGTCAAAATTTTCTTGTACTATTTTCTTATTTGAACAGGCTGGGTTAACAATGTTGTGTTTACAAGCTGTTTGGAGCCTCAGGTAAAATTTCCCTCAGAACCTCTACGTCTTTTGAAACATTTAATGCAACCGATCTTATTTATGCTAAGTTCGTAGTCTATATTACAAATTTGTCTTTCTCTAGAATGAGCAGCTCAGCTTTGTCCAGAAACTGGTGCGAGCTTGTAACCCGGATGTGGCTTTTATTCTCGCTAAAGGAGGGGAAGTTACAAGGTAGCCTATAGCTTTTCCTGCTTATTAGTGAAGAAAGAGCTCTTACAGCTCTGTGCTACATGCCAGTTTGAACGCAGCTGATAGTGTTTGTGGTATGCTTATAGGACACCTGATGTTGAGTTAATTCTGTCAGACAGTGCATTTGACGAGGACAGGATGGTACAGAAGAGAGAGCTAATGTGTCCCGGCTGGTAAGTTACTTAAGATAGCGACAACCAACTTACGGTTCGAGGGCTGTTTCCTTTCTCTTTCCTGTTGCTTTTTTTTTTCCTTTATCAGTAGTGCAATTGTTACTCGCTTTTTGCTGTTTACTACTGTATGGCCGCTTCTCGTGCATGTTTGGTCGACAATCTAAGATCAAAGAACTCCAAAGTGAAAGACATTTGGCTTTTTCAGACATATAGTTGGATCAAGACAGGATGGTACAGGTTTATAACTTAGAAAATGGATCAAAACCTTCAAGTCGAAAATATCAATTATTGTACAGATATCAACTTTAGCTTCTTTTTATCCTAAAGGTCTTTGGGTTTGTTTTCAACTGGAATCACAGAACCGCAAATTAACGAGGTATTTTTTAAGACAGTTACGCGTTGACAAATCACAATGCACTTGTTGGAATTAAATGATTTTATGATCAGTGACGTTTCACAGTGCATGTGAAAAAACCCATTCCGTAGTGTGCTTATAAATGAGATCGAGGAGTGTCTGCTGTAATCAGCAAACACTTTGGATATCAGCAAAGCTAACCTCGGTGCGCGATCTGACGTTAAAGTGAATAGATCATGGTGGACATATTTAACTTAGCTGAGGGAAATTTTGATCTTTTATTAATAGATTGGTGTGGCATTCTATGGACCACTAAGCAGGCAGAGATTTGTTTCGAACCTTAAAGGTGGGACATTTTAGCAAAGTTAATTCAGTCAATTTGTTTTTCAACTAATAATTACCTTACTGAATCATTGAGCAGTCCATGAAGTTCACTGCTTCTTTTTATAGCGCTCCATGGACCCATATCATCCAAGGAGACACATTCAACAGGTTGGTTCAGTCTCTTGGGTGGTTTACTTTGTTCTCTTGCTGCCCTGCAGCTTATTAGTCAAATATCACTATTATTTATCTTTTCCATCATAGGGGCAATTCACAGCCTACAAGGGCATGCCTGTTTCTCAGGTAACAGAGCCAATGCATTCTTTCTCTTTGAACATTGAATCAGTGTAACGATACGAAAACTTTTGTCTTACCTCATCACGCTCTCTCAATTTTTTTTGTTTCTGCCAGAAGAAGATCCTGATAAAAAGGTACACGTTCACTGGTCCCGTCTGAATGGATTGCTAAAAATGAGCCCCGTAGACAGCTCTGCTGTTCCGCGACCTCCTTCAGCAAAGGCCCAACAAAATGGCACTGTGGAGGGAATCCACGAGTACTTTATCGTTTTCACTGGATTTAGTCTTCAAGAACAGGTTTTAAAGGACTGGCTCAAAACCTGTTGTAAACCGGTATGTTAACTATCGCAGTACAACTATGATGCCTGCAAACTTGTTTGTGAAAATCTAGCCGCCCTACTCATGAACACAACGTGCGCTAAACTCTTGACCTTCAGTAAAAAAAAGTTGGAATGTGATTTTTTTTTTTTGGTGTTTATTGCATTGTCAGTGAAATTTAAGACAGGTTTCTGTCTATTTTGGGTCAAAGATTAACATAAACTGTTTGGAAGTAGGCGGGATCAAATCGCGTCGAAAGTTCGGTGGAGAACTCCCTGTTACACTTCCAAGTGTATTGTCGACTAAACTTTTTGAAAGAAATGTGTGTTTTAAGACTGATGAAGCTTTCTCTGTTAGTTTTCTTTTCAACCAATCTCCTTTATAACGTCAGACCAGACCGACTGGCTGTGATAGACCCTCCATTTTCATAGCCAGTGTAGGTTATCGCCCGTAGTCTTCATTTACAGAACAAAACATGTTGGTTGTAGGCACCAGGGAAACAGAAGTTAAAAACGCGCGAGGATCTGTCAGAGAAAGAAATAGCCAACGTTGGGGTAAGTACAGTGATGAGGCCACGGTCAATCCAAGTGTTTGGTAATAGCATAGAACATTCCTTGTTCCTTCTCCAAACCACAGATTTTCAGCATGACTCAACCGCGTGAAGGAGTGCGGTGCATCTGTTATTGCGATTCTTTTCAGACCACACCCTAAAGCGTTGGTCAGTTACTGTAACATACAGCCATTATATGGAGCCATTAAACGTTGAGGACAGAATGCGGCACTGAATAGTGTACCAATATAGGAACTTCGGTTGAAAAAGTTTATTTTCTCGTCATAAAACTCTTTTATCTGTATTTCCTGCGTTCTGCAGTGTCGTGATATATAAATAGCAGCTATTGTGAGATGATTAGCTTTGTTGATTTGCATTCATTACTTAAAAATCACTGTTGTTTCATGCTTAGTCCAAGCACAAGTTTGATCCACTGCCTCCAGGCTGGTTTTACAATGGCCTACATTACGTCAGTCTTACTGGAGACAAGGATTACAATCATCCACGTATCCTTTAATGTTGCAATGTAAACCCACTTGTGTATAGGAATAGCTGCTAGTCAACAACTACTACTGAGTTTCAATGCTTGGAAGCTTTATCGTGACAGAGTGACCTTGAAATGTTTTATTTTTCTTAGAGAGAATATAGATTTCTTACACATTGCTAGAAAAAAGGTCTTGTGTGACAAGGCAACAAACGTGTTGAGCAGAGAAAACTCAAGGTTATTCCTTAACTCACCCTTAGTTTTGGGAACATTCATAGACCGTTACTTGTTAGATATAAACGAAGAAATCACGAGACAGAACTCTCAGTCAGATGGCCATCCTCCTGTTGATATATTTTCCAAGCAAAAGGGCAGCTGTTGATTTACCAAGTGTGTTGGTTCTGAACTGAAATGATCTGTTGACGATTTAATTGCACATGGCTGTTACCGATAGTTTACTATTTCAGTGACTGTTTTGAAATATATTTATTTAGTTTAAGACGTATTTATATTACCGTTCGGATATTCTTAATCGGTTCTCGATAAAAGTTCTAAAAACCTTTTTAAAAAAATGAAAAAAGATAGGAGAAGATTAACCAAAGAAACAAAATCTCTGAGGGACGCCGACGTGTGAACAGACAAATAAATGAATAACATTGAAATAAACACTTATAACACAGTTATAAGTGTTTATTTTAATGCTTTGAATCTTGAGATTCATTTTCTTCACCACCACCACCACCCCCCCCCCCACCGGTTTTAAGGAGTGAGCACGCTTGATACAATGTAGGAGTATTTTGATATCTATCTAAAGTATTTTTGCCATTCTGTACGAATTATCCTGCTGACGTTGACGTCTCTTATAAGCAGGCTTAAGTTGTGAAGTGTGAACATTGCAATATTTCTTTGGTATTCATTAAATAATTATTTTGACCATGTGGCAAATGGTGTTGTGAGTTGTGAATGGCTTGCAGTGTAGTAACATTTAGTTGATGTATGATTGGTCAAAAAATATGATGCTACTTTCTCTATTAATCAAATGGAAAACTAAATGGCGACTTGGCTCAGCACAAGCGTTTTCCCGCTTAAGGTTGTTTTCTTCGTTTCCTCTGATTTTTCATTGGCTTCTTTTGAAATTGTCCTTTCTTGATTAGCCGTTGTGATAAGTATAGTTTTATACACACGACATCCGTGGAAAAGCTCAATTTTTTATCATCAACAAAGTGGAAACAAGGCCGACTCAAGGAACTTGCAAAACTTACCGCAGGCTATATGATTTCGAGTGGGAGAAGGCCTCTTTCTTATATATCAATGCACGAGAATGCATTTAAAAAGGCGGTAGCTAAAAAAAAACAGAGTGTATGTGGGTAATTACCTTCCGCAGCATCCCTCTCAAATTAGTTATCATGATGGATCGCGGCTATGCGGGGCCAATCTCAAACCCTAGTCCCAAACTATCTTGGTCCTACTCCATCCGCATTCGGGTACAGCCTAGGCAAGAGCTATTTTCCTTTCTGGTCCCCAGTCTCCATCTTATCTTTTCCTCTCGTACAATGCATCTTGGGTTATCTGTTGCTTTGACAGGCGCCATCTTGGAATAGCGGGGCTTTCTCGTCGTAACTGGGGTAAAGATGCCGGTCAATGTGAATCCAGCGATTCGGGTAAGTCGTAATCATCGAATCTGTAACCTTGATGTGCTCTTATCGAAGGGAGTTCGTGAACGCGTAGTTTAAGCCTGTATGAAACTAGTTCACGCCAATAGTTAAGATAGTTCAGATTTTGTGTTGTAATGATTAAACAATATTGTCACAATGGAGACTTGCTTCTTCAAGAGGTGATCAACGTTTTGAATGGTTTTATGTGAGTATTATGTGTATTTTTGGTTGAAACAGTTTGCTCTATGTCTGGTATTATTAAATATAGTCACGTTCTTTCTTGATTCTCTCTCTTCTGGCAGTGTAGTGTAGTGTATAATCTGTGTTCAGTGAAGGAATAGAAACATTGCAAACTTCAATCCGTTTAGAGATATTTTGAGCAGTCATCAATTTATGTTATTATATTTTTCATTAATATAACAGTTTTCAAGATATGCTGCTCTTCTCATTGGTGTGGCATATGGATACAGAAGAAATGGTTAAGTAGTAGGAACAATACATATTGCAATGATTTTGAATTTCTTGGATTTGAATTGTCTAAATATCATTCATGGGTAAAAGTTAATCCCAAATTTGTAGTAATTATAATTTTTTAATACCTTCAAACCTTTCGTCTCAATTTTCTTTAATATTTTTATTTTACACGTATTGAAATTCCTTCTTACTTTGATCATATAAATTGTTAAAGCATGGAGTACAGTACCAACCATTCTTACTGGCTCATTCTTTTTTGTGCTCCCTGCCCAAAAGTTACAAAAGCCTTCAATACAGGCCCATTGTCTTGTAAACCAAAATTACATCCAATTGTAAGCCCCTATCCCCCCCCAATGTTTCATCCCCCCCCCTCTAGCTTTGTTTGTTATGAGAGGCAATAATCAATAATTATGGATTTTTAAGAGGGATGAGTCAGACAATGATGCTAACAAGACTATGTAAAGTTAAAAGCTAGCAGGCAGCTAGATCACCCAGGAATTATCAACATTAGCACCACAAGAAGATTAAATGTAATCTTAGGGAAAAGTCTTAGTTTCTATTTTGGTGATGTCCTATTTCATTTTTGTCACTAGTTTTGATTTTATTTTAAAATGCTGGGTTAAGTTTGATTCATAGTGACAGTTTTAAAGGTTAAATAAAACCAGCAAATGTAAAGCACCCTTTGATTAACAGCTTCATAGATGTTTTTAGTGCACTTGTTTATGCAATACAAAGCCCCCTTAGCTCTAAGCTTAATGGAAGCTCTGTTAAAAGCCTATATTAACCCTTTCAAATTGGATTATAAGGGCAGAGTTTTCAACAGTATTTATTGTTAATTTAGGTTTTTAATCACCCATTAAAAAAATTATCACTCAACCCTTTTTTTTACCATTTCCTCAGAGTACCTCAAACCTATAGCAGCTCGTGAGAGGGAAGAAGAAGCTGCAAGGGCCAAAGAGAGAGCAGAGCTTGAGGCAATCAGGAAAGCTGAAGCTGATAAAGGTTGGTTAGGTTTTTGAAAGGAATTTGAAGTCTCCCTTGAAGGGAAGGTGGTACGAAGTTTAAAGGGCCCTTTATATGAAAAACAAAGTGTTTCATCTATTACAGCTAAAATTATAAGTAATGATTCAAAGAATTCTCTGTTTTCAATGTTAGCTAGTTTACTCTCTCTTATGTTTAATGAAGCAACCAATATAAATCAACTTTCCCAAGACTACACTTGTGATTTCTTTTCCAAAACCTTTTTCCAAATTTGTGTTCAATATGTGGCTTATCTGATAGTGTTTAGGGCACCTGCCCCAGGGGGGCTATTTGATGGATAGGTACAGAAGTATTAGTTATTTTTCAGAATGACTTTTTTAAGAATTTCAAGGTCAAACCTAAGCTTCAGAAGAAGTTACAAGAGTGAGTACAGTGTTGATTATTATTTTTTTTTTGTGGTTTAAAATGAATGCTTTTGTGGTTACTTTCTGTTTCAGTTCCACTGTTTTAGATGGCCATCTATCTTTCTATGATTGTGGAGGGATGTGGAGTATCCATTCATGATATTATGTCAAACTTTTGGTGCCAATTTATTCCTTTATGTCCTGTGATATTAATTTTGTAAGGCCATAATACTCTGTACTTGATAATACAATGTCAATAAATGTTTTTGAAATGACTGCTTCTTCTTGTTTCATGCTGCAATGTTAAGCAAAGCTATGCAACTGAACAAACTTAAATTGCATTTTTTTTTTTTTTGCCTCTGAGTACAGAGTGAGGTACGATCAACTAACTTGGACATGGTTGTGCTCATACTTTAGTTGTACATAACAACTTGAACTTTATTTATCCTTCCATTATCCCATTATTACTTTTGGAAACACTGAGATTTACAAAATAAGTTGTGGTATTGCATATAGCACGGCTGAAATATACACATTTCTTTCAAGTCTGTATTGTTTTTCTTTAAATGATAATTGCCTTACTGTTTGTCAAGAGGGTGGAGGTGAGGGGGAAGGAGGAGTGAGGTAATCACATGGTCAATGCTTTGCTGAGTTTCTGATGACCTAAACTCTAGTGAAGGTTTTCAATTAATAGCTACACATTTCTCCCTTGAAACAATTTCTGTTCAGTCCCAGAAGTCCTAGAACACTATCTATGTACAAAAATAATAATCCTCTGTGACAATTCCTTGTTGTTATTCATTGTATACTGCAACATGAATTTGTCTTCTTTGCCTGTTTGAACAGAGATAAAAAAAATTCCCTACGTTGGATAGAAGTGGTATGTTGGTAAGACTGTTTAACATATAATATAAAGGGATATTCTGGGACTTTTTGGTTTGTACTTAAGCAATAACTTAATAGACGGAAACTTATTATCCTAATCCTATTACCAACATAAACAAACTTTTGTCTGTGGTCTCTCCAGGATACTGCTACAAAGCTTAGTTGTTTGCAACTAATTACCCTCAAATTGTTTTGAAGAATAGTTTCTAGTCCAATCATGTGGGACAGCAATGAAGTAACTTAAATTGTGGCTGTTGTTTAAAACTGTTTGGTAAGGCACTAGTAGTTTTGTGAAATGACTCACTGTTTTGTAGAAGGCTTTTGACTGCATGGTTAGTCCTTCAGATTTTTCTACAAGATCATCAAGTTTCTCTCCTCTCTCTAGCACAGCTTCAATTGTGTTGTGCTGTAAATAAATGGATGGCAAATATTAAGGGGATAGTGATGAAATTTCATGAGTTGATTTAGGCAAAATTTACCTACACCTCAACAAGGAAGGGCAATTAAAGTCCAACAGATGTTATAGTTGATTTGAAAATGTTGCAGAATCTAATGTAATAATTCTAAAGAGTGTCTCATAGTGTATGGCTTTAACTCTATAATAACATTTGATTATGTAGTCTTATCATTCAGGCTCTGGTTGTTCCAGAATGGATATTGCTATCCATTAGATAGTGCAGTACCCTTGGTAACACTTATCATCTGGATAGCATTATCCACCCTTTAAACTACTGGGCCAAGGTGAGTAGTCATTTAGCATAAACAACTTATTCTTGACAAATACAGAATGACTGCACCCTTTTGAATGAACTTTGAATGATAGGATCTGACCAACCTTACATTAAATAAACCAATTTTAATAAATCTTAAAGACAATAATATTGTGACAAAACTGACCAATCTGTTTTGATGAAATAAACTTGAAACGATTGACTAATAAATCCTTAGTTGAATTCGACTCACTCACTGATACTAACAATAGTCCTTGTTAAGACTACTCACAACTGGATGAACTATACTTTTACACAATTGAAGGAAAAATGTAACAACAGAGGGCTGAGAACAGCTTAAAAGAAGCCATGATCTAGTCATAAGGCAGCAGGCAGATAAGGATCACTTGAAATCTGCACTAGTTGTCTGTTGATAGTAACAATCTTACAACCACATATACTGTATTGAAAATTTTCTTTGACCTACTAAGTTTTTAAACCACAATTCTAGTCCTTACATAAAAGCAAAACATTCCAAATTTCCATGTATTTGTAAGTCACTCCCTCATTTTCTACCCAGAGGTTGTATCACTATGCTTCATAAGTAAACCCTCGCTATCTCCTTACTACCAATACTAAAATGGCCCCAAAGCTGGAGCAGTCCTTTCAGCAAATTGCCAGTAGTGAAAACAAATTTGTGTGGAGCACTTACTAAAACTATCTTTGTTTCATCCAGTTCTGCCTGTACTTTAGTCATAGCATCAGCTTCTCTTGGATTCTGTAGCAATAATTAAAAAAGATTATGTCTAATACCACTTCATCATATTTCAAGTAAGCAAATCAGGCTAGAGAATTTGGTGTTACATCAAGATAACCCCTGCTAGCTGATTACCATGTCTGTTCTCATTACTTGTTAGCAGGATAAAATATTGGAATCACAATGAAAAGTTACAGATTAATTACTTCTGGAAATTAAAAAGTTTTTAATGCATAAATCAAGTGAATCAACATATCTACAAACAAGTTTATATACTTTCCTTTTTCTTTGGTTTGTTTGCAATCAACAATTAATAAATATCATACTTAAGATGAACTTGTGAAGAAAGCCAAAACTCTTCAAGAATTTAGATTATTTAGTTCCCGAGTTTTTTTTTTGTTTTGTTTTTTTTCTTGTTTTCAATCCCCAAAGCCATAGTGTAGAAACTTCTTCTGAAGGAAAGGATTCCTTTCTTGACATTGGGAATGATTTCCAGCAAAGAGAGTAAACTGACAAAAGACTCACACCTTACAATATGATCTACATGTAACCATTATAAAATCAAGACCTGTGTACCTGATAATCTTGCAGATATTTCTCACATTCTGGCCAGACTATTGTACTAGAAATTGACAAGAGTTAAACACATCAGAAACATCATACAGGATGAAACTTTCCTTTGGGTCTAATTGTGTTCAGCCCCTTGTAAGAAAAACTAAATATTATTAATTATGTTGAACTATGACAAACATTAACTGACTTCAATTTCACAAGGAAGTATTATGGAACCATCCTTCCACACCATATCACTGATCAAAGCCATAAGCATTACAAGAAGATTTATTGTTAAAATACAGCACTGAATGTTTCATTCAATGCAGCATACACTCACTACAATGCCTGAAAATCAAACATATTTAACAAGAACTTACTTTGGTTCAGCTGTTTTCCAAACTGATGGGGATATTTTCTGAGAAAAGTCTTCTAAAACCTTTTAAATTTTGCATTAGAAAATGGAATAAAATGTTAAAACATACAACATTATTATCAGTTGTACATGTAACTAAACACATTACATTGCAGACTACAAACTAAGAATTAAGAACAAATCTGGAGTCTGATGAAAGTGACCAGAAGGTCATTAGCTCTAAGGACTTCTACTATGGCTGCACATTTAAAAAAGAACAACTTTTATTTATATGTTAACATCTTAAGAGGAACAATTTTTTAAGTCCTTAGAGAGTCCCCTGGATGAAGGTTCCACTGTATTAATAAAAGAGCAAATTTCCAGTGGACTTCCAGTAACTTAACACTTCTAGGGTAAATTACTAAGAGTCGATAACGAAAAAAACAGGAATGCAAAAAACCTCCTCCATTGTGCTTCCTTTCAAACAGAGTGCATTTTTAAAATCATTTATATATTTTTTAAAATCATAGAATAGGGAAGCTGAGTAAAAAGAGAATGTCTGAAAGAGTTAACCTATAGAGAGAAAGAGTGCTGAAAATGTTCAGAGGTTATCACTAAGCCAAGCTTTGTGCTGGCTACACATATATACACTCTATCAATGTAATACAAACATAACTCCAAACATATCTCTCCCTACTGACAATGGAACGCTTACTTTATTTAACAAGGTAAAAACAACTCTTTGTGGATATTCATTGTCAGAAATAATAACTCCTCCAAGAGAATCTGATCTCACAAAGACGTGACAAATGTACTCTGCAAAAACAAAAGGTACATAAACAAAAAATATCCATAAAAGGCCTGTGTTGGACAACCTGTGTAGGGGCAGTAAAAAGTTTGAAATGTTTTAGTCTAGAGTCCCTTTGATACAGGATATATAAGGGTTATATTATTATTATTATTATTATTATTATTAATCTGTCTAAATAAAAGAATGTATCATTAATTTCATTGTATTAAGGATCCAAAATTTAAGTCAGAGGGAAAACAATCTTCTTTTTTATCATTAATTTCATTGTATTAAGAATCCAAAATGTATGTCGGAGGGAAAACAATGCTCATTTAATTGTTAATAAAAATCATTACAAACCTAGGACTGTGCCAACAAATTTGCTAGCCTTTCAAGAAATTTGTATCAAAGATATACTGAGCTATTAGCCTAGATGAAAAAGGTGTGAGTCAAGACCCATGACAGAAACTGATGTGATCTATGTGTTTTTCTGCCCTCCTCCACACCACTATGCTACATAAAATGTATTAGACAAAGCTTAGTGGTTCACATGGTCAGGAGATTTACTGTTCTGTGCTCAAAATAATCATTATTAAACAAATTATATTATAAAATATGTGGTTATTGTTCATTGTGGTGTAAGATAGGAGATGAACTTTACTCATTTGTCTCACAATGGAGTCACTTTGGATATTGATCAACATCCAAAGTGACTCCATCACAAGACAAACAAATAAAGTTCATCTCCTATTAAACAAATTCTTCATCACCCAAACCCCAAATGCTTATGATTTAACAAAGGCTAGGATTATCCTCTCTGATTAATCTTAACCTACCATTTTCTTTCACCGAGGCTCTCTCGTTAGTTCTTGTTCTTTCCACAAGTATTTGGCCAGTAAACTGCATAAATTCTTTCACACTGAAAAATCAAGTGCATAGTGTGTGTACTTTGAATTCACCTTAATTTTCCAGCACAACCTTTACTGAGCTGACACTCAAGGGACTCTTGAAAAAAACTGAGTATAATTATCCAGCATAATACTTTAAATCTAAAAAATTGTAAGATATACTAGTCCATCTTAGGTATATTTGGTAAAGGAGGTGTAGGCAAATTTGAACTGTGACATATTAACTTTAAGGGTAACAGAAAGTTTAGTATTGATTCAAGAATCAGTCAATGTTCCTTTCTCCCAAGAGGGGAGAGGAGGCTCCATGTACCAAGAGTAGGACAGTCACAATACCAGTATACTATTTAAAAAAATTAAGTCATTCTGCCTAAAAATGATTACAATGTGTTTAACTACAGTTATTAGTCTCAAGAAATCGCTCATTTTTTGATCATGATGCTAAAAAATACAAATCGTCAGACCAAGGAACTCTATACTTCCCAGATTTGTTAATTGAAAAGAGATCAGTTCACACGTTTCAAAAATGATTTCCTGGTCACTGATCCATATAAAATTTCATGTAAACCACTACAAGCATGTTTTCACGGTTCTACCTTGCCTGATCAAAGCAAATTAGCTACTTGTACTGAGTCAGGCTCGTCTGATTTAAAAATAGTTTGATAGATTACGAAAAAAATAAAACAATTAACTACGAAAGAATAATGATTAAACAGAAAGACGCAAGGAGAAAAGTCTAGGTTTTATTGGTGTAACTTCTGATGCACACATATGAAATTGGAAATTCTTTCGAATACAGCCTTCAGAGGATAACTTATGAAAATAAAACCTACCTTGAACGCTGAAAATATCCAAAGGATTGAAGATCGTATGCTGAAACTAATGTTTTTGACTTAATATCTTTACGAACAACACTTAATGCGTATAATTTCATCCTGGAATCCTCCTCTAGTGACAGGCAAACTCAGTCTATTGCTAATTTCTCCGATTTTTCTCGTTCACGAAGGAACTATTGTGTAACCTCGCCGTTTGAGAGAGGTTTGGAAGTGACGTCACCACTCTAGACAATTACTCGCCTGCTCGGTTCCCCTTTTCACAACAGCTTCACAGATTGTAAGGAAGCTATTTCCTCTACAGTGACACGTTTTCAAACACATGGAAACGAATGAGTCACAAATGTTCTCAGTCTTATGGGAAAATCCAGGGCCACTAATTCATCACTTGAATTACTGTTGTGTGTTACCCTCTTTAAATAAAGTTGTTATTACTGTTATTATTATAATTATTATTACAATTATTATTATTATACGGTGGATCATGCCATGGTGTGCAGACGAGGAGGATTCATCATCCAGAGGCATAACAAGCTGTGTGATCTTGAGGCCGATTTGCTAAACACTGTTTGCCACGATGCGCAAGTGGAACCCGTTCTCCAGGAGATAACGGGAGAAGTGCTGACGAGGGGTACGAACCCAGCACCGGATGCCTGATTGGATGTTCGCGCTCGTGGGTTTTGGGATGGGCAATGCTCTGCCTTTTTCGACGTAAGGGTTTTTCACCCAAACGCAGAGTCTTACAAAGATCTCACCATTCAGCAGATTTATCGCAAACATGAAGATGAGAAGAAGAGGCTATACGCGAACAGGGTTTTGGAAGTTGAACGAGGGACTTTTACACCTTTACTCTTCACTACCACCGGAGGCATGGCGGACGAATGCAAGCGTTTCCACAGTAGATTAGCGGAACTCATATCTATTAAGAAAGGAGAGGAGTACAGCACAACGACTTCATGGATACGTTCAAAAGTGTCCTTCGCTCTACTAAGCTCCGCCTTACTTTGCCTAAGAGGTTCACGCACCACTAGGCGTGTTCCTCTGAACATTGAACATTGTGACTTTGAGATCGAAAAAGAACAAGCAGGATTTAGAGAATAGTTTTTGTTTTTGTTTTTTTGTTTTTTTTTTAGAATATTTTTAGATTTTTTAATATATAAGATGGATGTTTTTTTTATCTTCAAATAAGATTTTCCATGATATTTCCCTTGAGCTAGGTTGAACTCGGAAGTAGTTAAGGATAGGATTAGGAAATAACAGATTGTAGTCGATAAAATGTAATCATTAGAATGAAATAACTATGTGAAACGAGACCTTAACAGATTTTAAATTAATCAAGTTTATATTAAAAAAAATTATTATTATTATTAGGTTACTACTTTTTAAAAAATATTATTATTGTTGTTTTTTTTATTATTATTATTATTATTATTATTATTATTATTATTATCATTACATTGGTAGAGTATTTAAGGTCAAGATTAAATTTGTCTGGAACTTGTAATAGGCAGGTCGGTATGACGAGTGACAAGTGTCCAATCAGTTTGAATGAAGACGACCACGAAGCTTGAGGGTCTTTTTTACTGATACCGACTTCAGATCTCAACAAGTAACAGTCCCATTTTCTTAGATATATGAAAATTCACATATTTGCACTGCGGTGGAAAGATGAAATTAGAAGATCCTCGCAGCTTAGAACACTACTGAAACTAGTAGTTGTAAGTAGGACCTGATACCTGCACCGGTATCGCAGAGGTCATGGGTTCACATCCCGTACGGGCCTGAAATTTTTTTCAGGTCCTACTTACAACTACTAGTTTCAGTAGTGTTCTTAGCTGCGAGGATCTTCTAATTTCATCAGTCCCATTTTCATTTGACAACAAGCGGTCTTTTTGAGATAAATAAAATTCATTTTTCTTTAACAAACTTTTCGTTTTTAAAAATTTGATATCTGTCTGTATCGTATATAGAAATAGTTTCTATTTTAAACTTCAATACCTCGATGTTTTGGTAATGTTTTGATTGACGTATTTTTAGTGATTATAAAATAGTTCGGATAACACCGCACATTCCTTGGTTTTGACGAAGGTTATGATTGCGTGACCATGAAGGCCAGAGTTCTTCAAGGGTGACAAACTAATCACGTACCTAGACAAGGCTCTTGAAGCTTACACTGTTTCAATTTCTTATGGAAAGCCTCAAAGAAATTCCATTCGCACTTCTTACAGTCGTATGACCGTTGACATCTTAGCTTCCACTCTACATAAAAGAATGGGCACTGTCAGCTTGCTTCAGTTACATTGCCCTTGCGATAAATATGGTCGGGCCAAAAGACTGACAACAGTCATTCGCGTGTAGTAAAGTAGATCAGCTTGAGAAGTTTACTACAAGTTCATAAAAATTATTGCAACTAAATGGCCGAGAAAACAGAGACAAGTTCCTGGTAACACTTACAGGACATGAGTGTAAATTAAAATAATTTTTTTTATTGCTTATCCAATGATTCAAATTTTATGTAACATCATATTAGTGATACAAATTCAAAAATGCAGGACTTAATTATATATTACAATGTCTCTTAAAATAACAATAACAATATATTGAGATCTACGCGCTCTCTCTGTACATAAATCATAATTCAACATTAAGTCTCTTTTTTTGTCTCTCCTGACAGGCTATCAACTGTGTCTGGTCACATGACCAAAATCTCCTTTAAAAAGGAACAACAGATCACCCAGATCCCTTACAGTGATGTAATTTCTGACGTCACGAACAGTTCTTGGGTTGATTTTACAACTATCTGTTTCTTCTGCGTTTGTCACAGGGTGTTCCACGTTTTCTTCGTCGTTTGCACAGACAAATTCCTACAATGAGCGACAGGAAACTTTCAGGTTAAGTGGTTTTAAATGCGTTGCACATTGAATGTTTGGTGAGCTCCCTTAGGTGTGTGTAGAATAAAGAGATTAGAACATCTTAATATAATAAAATATATGTTAGGTGACTGGAACTTTGGCTGAACGTATTCATAACTTAATAACTTCCTAAACACCGAACTTCTTAAATTTAAACTTATCAAAGAATATTTATGCTGCCTTACGCTGGAGTAGTATTGTGTTCACCCTAGCATTGCAAGGAAATATATTATATTTCTATCACAGAGCAAAAACTTACCCTCAAAGAATCTTTGATTTGTTCATTCAGTCTCTCCTGTAAGTCTTCAGACGGTGGCGGTTTTGGAGGTGAAATGCCATTACTCCGAAGCTTTTAGAAAAAAAAATTGGAAGAAGTATGGATATAGGTAAGACAAGATTAATCAAATGAGAAAAGGAGTAAATCACACTGATTGCTTAAGGGGGTAAGTTTCTAAAGAAGCGTCGGTGGGAGAGTATAACAGGGTAATTGAGTATTATCAGCTGAGTTGATAATTTAAATTGGCCATCGTAGAGCGAATGACGAAGGGCTGACGCTCGAAACTCTTTATGGTGGCCAATTTATGTTAGCAACTCAGTTGATAATATTACATCACACTGATTAGTAATCTATCAAAACAGAATGAAGCAAATAAGGGCACAACATTTGCTGGAAAAATAATAAAGGAAATTTTCTTACCACTCTAATCATGACTGGTGTGATGGCATTAAGCCAATGTTCCAAGTCATCGCTCAGTTGCTGCACATTTTCATCCAGCGCACTACCAGTCACCAGTTTAATGGCTGCCTTAAACATCTGGAACAAGTTAAGGTCTTCCTCCATTTTTTGCACATCAGTCTTGTCTAATTGTGCCTGTAGAAAAGATAAATAGTTTGAAAAGACTCATTAATTACAAGCGCAGATGATTTGTTTATAGAGGGGTTCAAGTTTAACAGGCGTGGGTGAAAATCGACAGCCGCTCTCTTTTGTTTTGGATACTTAATCTGACGGGCCATCTCTATAGGAGTAAAACTGTTAATTATATTCCTTACAACAAGTTTTAAGTTTTTTTCTACCAAGTCGTTCGTTTATACATCTTTCAAACTTTCCCTTCAACAAGCGAAACCGAAACCGATATAGGGAAATGAATGACGCATGCTAGTTAGGTCACGTAAGGGAATCTCCCGTCCGAAATCAGTTCCGTCACGTTTGACGGTTGGAGCGTCATGTATGGCGAAAAACACGACGTAAAAAACTTTAATCAAATGATACCTGCACCTACCCTTTCGAATAAGACTTGGGCAAGTTCATCCAATTGAATCATTTCAACCTTACCAGAGTCAAGTCTATGTTGCTCTAGTGTTTGCTCCTGAAAGAAAACAAAATGTTGAACCAATTTATTATTGATTGTAATTAAAACATTAACTGTCCGATAAAAGGTGAACTCCACAGTGAACTGAACATCACATGTGTCAGTTTCTTAAAAATAAACCAACTGAAAGTTGACTATTTTTAGAGAAGATAATTTGGTCAGTTTTATCAATGTATCTTGGCATCCGTAAAGGGTTTCTAAAGCTAATATAGAATGCTTCCAACGTCAGCCGTTCGTAAGAGCCAATTTTGAAAGGATCATGTTTATCAAATTGCATGTGAAATTTTCTCAAGGCATACAAAAACTAATCCCATCGAAAAAACCACAAACTCATTCTGCCCTACTGCTATGACAAAATACAACTTTAAATATTATAATTCAAAACATGAACCGTACTCACAGTCTAATGCAAATGTAATAAGCTGAATTTCACGACTATTCAATGTTATCTCTTACCAGAGCCTCTTGGCATTTCTGCTGAAATTCATCCAGTTTTTCCATCGCAAGTCGCAATTTCTTAATTTCGTCTTCAGATAAAACGAGTTTCTTCTCCTCATCCATGGAAGTTGAAAGAACTTCCGAACATTCAAAGGTCAATTCTTCCTTAATGTAGTTCATGTTGCGTTGTAAGATTCAGTTTGCAAAAGCTTAACGTGCCTCAACTATATATAAAACAATTTGATAAGAAAGGGAAAAAACCCGTTGAAATCACGTGAGTACTTCACATTTCATTATATCTTTCCCCGAAATAACTAATGAAAAGACAACTCGAGTTCTGTAACGGAAATTTCATTTTCGACGAGTGCTTCACTGTTCCTTTTAAAAAAGTAATGACGACTCAGTTGAAATTCCTTCGGTTTCCGGACATCTCGCGGACGTATTTGAATTAAATATAAGTCGAGATCAGACATTGCGTTTCTAACTAAAGCAGTAATGGATATTACATTTCAAGTTCCTTTCGGTTTCAATACGAGTCCAAGGTAATGCTTCATTTAATTGTCGATCAAATGAATAGTTTACTAACTATAAAAACAATAAAGTCCAAGATAATGCTTCATTTAATTGTCGATCAAATGATTTAGTCTACTAGCAAAAAAAAAACGAAGTCCAGGATAATGCTTCATTTAATTATCGATCAAATAATGAATTAGTTTACTAACTATAAAAACAATAACGCTGGGAATTTTCCCGGAATGACCGAGGCCTTAAGTAATCTCCTTACTGAGGTTTATCAAGACACTTGATATGTTTGAATCTTTGAAATACATGTAATTCTAGGAATACAAAGTCACGTTTGAAAATATCTTTTACTTCCTTTTGCCAGAAACCATCGGTTGTTGTCTGATCTGTCCACAATTCCGTATCAAAGTCGTTAAAGACGTGTTCACGTCATCTCCAGACCATTAGAGTTATTTTTAAAACGAAAAATACGAATCAGTCAAGGTTACTGTTGAGTTATTCCTCGCTATGCAGGGGTGGGGTGGGGGGTTGTGAGTTGTGATTCGTTTTCCAACTCTCTTCACATCCTTAAAAATGTCACAATTCACGACTTGAGTGATAAAAAATTCTCTCGCCATATCAAGAGAATCCATAACGACTAACAGACATTGCTTTTCTAACTAAAGCATTTAGTCGATAACGACTAACTATCGATCAACATCACTAATATCAATATGTCTATTCATTTTTTCATTATTTTTGTAAACAAATGGACGGTTCACAATAAAAGATATGGAAGCGTTACATCAACTCACACCAGCACACACCCTCCCAATAAATGTCACTCTACATCAATAATTTAACTTTCTGCAACACTCATACTGCTACAGATGTTTTGACTTCCAATTCTTACAGAGAGTTTCAGGTTCAACTGAAACCGCCGCTCTAGTTATGATTTCTAAGAATTTTCTTTTTTTAACCAAAGCCGGCAGATGTCGCTCATGTGATAGAAATCATAGACAGGAACTTGCTTTAAAACCACATATGAAAAAAACAAACTGTAACATCTGTGTCACAGATTAAAAATAATCTATTTTCAGTTCTTACTTTGCAATCCAGCTGAACGGAAAGTGATTTGGAAATATTGCTCGCCAATAACATTGCGTTGAAAAGTCACACGACAACATTGTTTGGTTGAAAATAACTTGTAATAATTTATCTGTCACGATCAGCTTTACACCATTTTTTGTAACCCATAATATTCATTAAGCCACCACAAACGTCCTCAACACCTTTGATGAGCTCTTCAGGAGCTTCTCTCTTCCATTTGCTAATAGCAGTTGAAGCATTCTTGAACAGTGAATACGGGTTCTTTTCACCCTTCCTTCTCCTGTGATCATTTATCCATTTATCCACGCTCACTGACCAATCAAGTCCAACGAATTTGTATATTTCTCGTGCAACATTTGAGGTATCGATTGCAAGATCTTCGAAGCGTATTACTTTGAAGCGGTTTCTAAGCCAGGGCGTGGGAGACAACAAGCCAATCAGCACATTTTTTTTTACTGAATCACAAATCCTGTGGACATTTGAACGAAATTCCGCATTTGAGTGGCCCTGTATCCAATTCAACTTTACCCAAGAAAACACCACAGCTCTAGGATCGCGAACCAAGCAGATGAATTTCACATCGTATTTGTTCTGTTGGACGAAATGTTCCTGAAAGCTCTTTAGCGAGTTGTTTGGTAATCGTCCACTTAAAATCTTGATAACAGAATACTTATAAGAATTACAAACCTGACCAAGCAAAGAGTTTGTCAATGGTGCACACTTTCCAGAGGTTTTTTTACCGGGGCATAATTTATCACTAGTGAGGGCTTGGCTGTGACGACGGAAAGAACTGGTAGAAATGTCTGATAAAACTGCATTGGTGATATTACTAAAGTCACAACTCAAAATACTGTCGACTAAATGAAAACAAGTATCTTTGTATGAAATTGGCTCCTTTTCCATAAACACGTTCACATTCAAAACATTGCCGACATGAAATAGAGGTTCGAACCAGTACATGACTTGAGGATGACAGTTGAAAATTCCTCCAAGGAACGAAGACCCCCCCCTCCCTTGACTTAAAATAACAACATTTTTCCTCCTGGGACAAATTCCGAGCTCTCGATTTAATTCACTGTTTTCCTCGCTCCGTATTGGTTTGGAGTGAAACCTAAGTTCTTGATGTGATTTTCGTTTGTGATCAGGTAGCGATTTTGTTTCAAAATGATAATGCGGACGAAGTTTCTTCAGGCTTTTGCCACTTTCTTCAGAAATCAAATCCACGGTTGCCTCCCACACATTACTGTTAAACAGGATGTATAAAATCAGCAAACACATTGAAATAAAGATACAGCATCTGAAATAGAACCAGTGATTTCTCATGATGAAATCAACTCTTGACAGGCCAGGAATCAAAGCGACCGGGTATAATAAATTGAGATCTTTCTGCTTGTATTACATTTCGTTCAGTTCGTTGTTTGTGAACCTAAACAAAGCAAGAGAAATTTTTTTTGATATAGACTTCGAATTCGTTTAAAAGAAACCGCCTGAAGTCTCTAGGACGAGTATTCGCCGGCATTAGTGAGTGAAATATTGACATATGTATTAAAATGGTAAACGCACGCACGTTACAAATCTGACTGCGTGGTATCAGTCTAGAAACCAGTAAATACTCTTATTTTAACAACAAAAAAATTGAAATAGATTCAAATCTCCGGCTTCACTCCTTAGAGTTTAAGACCGCATATGATGGCGAGAATTTTCAATGACTGTCAGGCGTCAGTTAGTTGGTGTCAGTCCGAAAGATGATCCTTCATTGTCAATGCACAGATCATCGACAGTTTGTGGCAGTAAATGAAAACATTTTAGTAATCCTTCCACAGAAAACTTGATTGTTCACTGACCTTCAATCCCTGTATATCTTTGCAACAATGGATTTGGCAAAAGTGTGAGTCACGTTGATATGGTTTTTTTCAATGACTTCAATGAGTTGATGTTGTTCCCCAAAAGAGTAAAGATACTGCGTATAAAATTGCACAATTTTATAAAAATAACAAAAAAAGTAAAAGAAAGCTGTGAATCACGTTGCTAGAGAACGTTGTTTTAAGCGACTGCAATGTGCTGTCAATGTTCCACAAAGCCAATCGCATAATAAATAATCTAAACCAAAGTGCTACCATAACACTTTCACTCGTACTAATGCAAGTTTTTTAATAAAACTGCCCTATATAATGTAAATGTAAAAGTATTTAGTGTCGTCACTGGTCAATGTGATCATCCGGTGACTGAATTAGACTGGATCTTTAGGTAAATTCTTATGTACATGACCTGGGACTATTCAGTGGAAAGACAAAAATGGAAAAAGCTCTTAAGTACTGAGACAGAGATTGAAACGGTTATAGAAGACTTCACAAAAAAAAGATGTTTTCTTATCTATGCACCAATGGCAACATATCTTAAGGTTTAATTCAGAGATGTTAACAACAGTTACAGAAAAACTGAACAGGTTTTATTTGTATCATTTGTACCCTTCTTCTAAGAAAGTAACTAGGTGTGCATAGAGTTGCTTATTTACTTTGCGCTTATCAAAGGATGGCTGTTTATTAAAGCTTAAAAGCTGTTTAGATACCTAAAATTCTTCACTCACCGAATAAGAAAAACTTTCGAACATTAACATGGAGCTATGTTACCGAACTAGTCACCAAAGCTACAAATCGTTTACTTCAGCCTGTGAACCTTGTGGTTTTGAGGCTTTGAAGCCTGCTGATTTCGGCGGCGGCTTCAAAGCTCATACAGAACTTTAAGCTGCGCAAACTAAGTTTGCATTTCCATATGAATTTGACAGATGCGTACTGAATAACAATTACAAGTTTGTCTTTCGTTATTCTAGATAACCGACACGAAATAACTTGCGAGCAACTCAGTTGGTTCTTGTTCTGTCTGTGAAAGACAATCTCCAGTGGTTATAACACAGGTAGGCAAGATATAAAGAGGCTCTTGGTTTTTGCGCTTAGCGCTGTCCAATCTATTATGCTATTTTTTTCCTTGAAAAATTCCAGATCAGCCGCCAAAGTTCTCGTTCGTCTAAAATATAATTCGACTTTATCAAGTCGCCTAAAGACCGAACATTATAATTTCTCCTTTTGATTCAAGAGATGAGGTCAATTGAACTTGAGGACTGAAAAACAATACAACTCATTGTGTTAAACATGGCTTGAATTAATCGCCATTCGTTGAGAAACTCTCTTAGAAATGTAGTTATCTGAAAAATGTAAGGCAAAGAGCATGTTTGCTGAGCTCGATCCGTCCACTCATACACTCTAATGTATTCGTTGAACCTTTTTTTACAATCGCTGGTAGTGCCCGCGGGCGCCATTAAGCGAGTCCTGTGTTGTTATTGGCCTCCCGAGCGGGCAAGAAGGGTTCGACCCTGCGTAATTACTTGGAGCGGAAACACAAAGTTCGTAATGTGTGGACAATGTCAGCGATGGAGTTACAAAAAGCGACTGAAAAAAGTCAAAACAAAGAAAAACTTAAAAGACTGTTGTTTGGTCTCTCCAACGGGGAATAAATGGCGTTGTGTGACGAGATCACAGCAAAGGAGACAACAATATGGCACCGATGCAATTCATTTTTGCTTAGAATTATTTAGACAATAGAGACAATAGACCACAAAATACCTGTGTGAGTTTAGATAAATTAGGTTTCTTTTCTTTCTCTTAGGGAGAAGCAATGCGATATTTTCGTTCTTTTGAAAGTTATGCTCTTTTTCTGTTGTCGGAGGTCATATCAACATGAAGTATTACCCTTATTGAGCAAAGCCACTGATCAAAGTTGAAGCCGATATATTGACTTATTAGTTAGAGTTATTCAGTGTGCAATAAGTTTAAAAGCTTCAGCACACGAGGACATCCAACAATTTTGTTCTTAACTGCTCTTTGGTTTTTTCAATCATTCGTGTCTTTCAGAGTTAGCTTTGCTACGACGACATCATGTGTTACTACACATGACTTCGCCGGGTCAGTTATTGTTTTATGACCCTATCAAGTGTTTACGTTTTAAATCAATCGTAAGAAATGTATGCGACGAGGACTACTGACCACTTCAAATGCATCAGTTGACTATCACATATGTCATCTGTAACAGCATAGTAAACGGTCGACTGCATAAAATATCAACTCATTCTAATAAAAATTAAATTTTAAAGTTGCGGTGGATTCTCCGGTACGTACCTTAAAATTGTTAGCTTGATTGTTAGCCAAACCTTATGTTTATTTACGTCCTACAATTGTTGAAGAAATAAAAAAAGAAGTAAACACCAATTGAAATAGTAATCAGTAGAGACTGCATGTTACAGTATCGTGTTTTTCTCCGCAGCTATCATCGCACTTGACAATATTACAAACCGAACACAAAGTTGACGCCTGAGTTCGCCATGAAGAATAACTTGGTGTTGGTGACACTAAGCGTCCTTGCGTCACTGTTTGTTTTTTACACCCTAGTTCTTCTGTCATCATGGAAGTTGATTCCGCGTTTAAATCCATATACGAATATCGGTCCGGCAAAAAGGCAAACGATTTTGCAGGGATTTGACAAAGAACCACCACAACAACCAAAAACAGAAACAAAAAAATTATTCACCAAGCTTGATATCAAGAAATCAACTAAACCATCTGTTGAAACTAAGACACTCCACAAGAGGACTCCACGATCTAATCTCATTATATTGAGCCCAGGCAGAGGAGGATCTTCATTCTTAGGAGGAGTATTTGATGCTAATCCTGATATCATGTATTGGTTTGAGCCGCTACACACTTTATCCCGCGGCATATATGAACTCCATTTGTACAAAGACAAAGAGAGAAAAATTCAGTACAGCAAAACTGCTATCAACCTAATCAATAGCTTTTTCAACTGCAGTTTCACTCAGATCCCTAAAGACATTATGTCTGCATTATCTAAGAGCATATTTCGGATGCGAAGTACGTCACTGAGCAGTAGGCATTTGTGTCCTACAAAAAACAAAACGAAAAAATGTCTACCTTACTCAGTGAAACTACTTGGAAATGTTTGTAACTCTTCCAGACATACTGTTCTCAAGATCTTGACGTCCCGTTTGCCGAAAAATACACTTGAAAGTTTTCAAGGAATTTTTCAGAAACAGAAATATAAAATCAAACTTACTCACTTAGTACGGGATCCTAGAGCTGTGATTTATTCTATGCTTAATTCAGTGCAATGGATAAATATATCGAGCTTGTTAAATCAAAGTTTTCATGACGTTATTAATGGAGTTTGTAACTCCATTGAAAAAAACATAAAACTCGGTTTGTTTTCTCCCCCGTCATGGCTAAAAAATCGCTTTCAAGTGGTACGTTACGAAGATTTTGTTGTTAATACAACAAAAATTGCTAAGGATCTCTATAAATTTGCAGGATTTGATTGGTCGGTAAGTGTTGATAAATGGATTGAAAAACATCAGAAAAAACCGCACAAAAATAATGAAAGGGATCCTTATTCACTTTATAGAAACGCTTCGCTGGTTATGAACAAATGGAAAAAAGCTCCACTGAGCTTAATTACAGCAGTAGAACAAGTCTGTGGTAATTTAATGGACATGCTTGGCTACGAAAGAATGATTAAATCAGAAGAAAAAAACTCTATTAATCGAAGCTCACTTGTAATAACCTGAATAAAAATAAAATGACATTTGGTTGTTTATTAAAATCGACTGGGCTGGTATTTTAAAGTGTGGTTCTCACTCTCCTGTGACGTACAAACAACAAACTGAAATGTGAAGGGAACCTTTACAATGATTCGGATTCTCAACGGTCTTAGACAGCAGAAAGGTTCACGATAAAGCTGTTGATTTCCTTCAGAATTTCAATCAACCGACGTATTTTTGTCCCTGAACCATTTGAAATAAGAAAATTAGTCTTAAGAAATGAAGAAACTCGGAGTCAGTGGTAAAACCTCAATATCATGTGAAATGAGGGCAGTAAAGATCATTCAGTTGGTAAGTTACAACCTCCTACGGCTTGACAGAGGGAAATTTCCACTGTAAATACAGTAAATAATAAGACAAATAAGAACAGGACTTAATCGTGAAAAAATAACAGAGACTCCTTCCCTTGATCACCCACATGGTAAACTTGACGTCATCCTTCCAAATGCCGCTTGGTTTCCTAAAGGATATCGCGCTTTTAAAATGGCGACTTGCAATTATTATTTCTGGAGGCTTCCCGCGAGTGCACCGCTTAACAACTCCAGGTGTTTGAATAATCAAGATCCTGATGAAAAAGATCATTAACTGAGCACAAATATATCGTCCTCGACGCGTGTCACCCTCGGAGTAGCTGCATCCAATATGATGAGCATCATACGACTTTGAAGCTCATAATGCATCTGATTTTCATGGCCTTTAGCCGGCTCCAGAGTTACCCTACGACATCACTGTAACCCTTTAATCCCTAAGAGTGACCAGCATATAATTTCTCCTCACAGTACCCCCCCCGAATCACACATTAAAGCCACGAGAATAAAGGAAATGATCAACAACCAAAGAAACTCTCGATCGTTGAGCAGATTCTCCTCGTCAGAAATAAAAGAATACAGTATGGTGGTTATGCATATTGATGTTAGGGTGCTAAGGGTTAAAGGCGTATTCTACTTTAAATCATAAAAATGATGTTGTTGAGTAACAAGAAATAACCTAATCAAATGTGATACCTTTTCTCTCTGGATACATTCCTATCTACATATAAATAACATCAAAAAAGGTATTCCTTTGTAAGTATTCCCGCCAATATGCAGCCATTTCTTCTTTGACTTGTTGCTTCAATATAATCTTACTCACAAAGCCGTTAAATTAACAAATGGATTCCAAGTTGCCGTGCGTCTGTTCAGTAACAGATCACAGATGAAGTCAAAATGTGGTAAGAACAAAAAAGTTGCACACGAGGCGCAGCCCAGTTTGTCACTGATATTCTTAACACATTTTGATGTCCTCTGTGATCTATTACTGAACAGACGCACGGCAACTTGGAGTCTATTTATTTTATATAATAAATAATTAAAATATACTGTAAAAAGTTTTAATGATGACGTCATCTATACGTCTGTCCTCCAATAGATCATAAGTGAGAACCAATCAGAATGCGTGCATAACTGAGCTTATTACATAAACAAGTATGGAACAAGGCAGTGATTTCTCCCGTCCCGTCAGAAACCGTGGAAGGCATGTAATAACTAATTTATTGCAGTGTTAGTTTCATGTTTAAAACTCCCGAAAATGGGTTAACAGTAATAACTAATTTATTGCAGTGTTAGTTTCATGTTTAAAACTCCCGAAAATGGGTTAACAGTAATAACTAATTTATTGCAGTGTTAGTTTCATGTTTAAAACTCCCGAAAATGGGTTAACAGTTGCCCATCTCTGAAAATTCCGCAGACGTGAAACGAGCATCGAGCATATTCTCAGGTTTTCATTGCCGCCAATTTTTTGTCGTTTTTTTCCTGATGCAAAAACCTGTCAGGGAGAAAGAGTGTGAATGGTGGACCGTGAGGCCGGCGGATGAGTCACAGAGAGAGAGAGAGAGAGAAGGGGAAACAAAATATTACCAGTCACCTTCAAGGACAGATGTTATTATGTTTCAGCATAATATTTCAGCTAGTCATCCCCTTCATCTAATCCAATATCTTCCCAACATTTGTATGAAACAAGATTCTGAAAATGTGAGGAACTTAAATTTTCAGCTATTACTTGATCACCCTTGATTAGCAGAGAGAATCGCGCGGCTCAGCCTGTTGGGGGAGGGGAAACGTGGTGTAAGGGTGGGGTAGGGTTAGGCTGTCTATCTCTGTATGCCAACTCGTTAACTGATATCGATTTATTCTCCGTGAACGAGTGCTGAATGATTCTAGCAGCCAGAGAAGATCCGAGTACTATACTGGAGAAACTATGGAAAGAAAGAGCCGCTAGTTTGCCATTACAGCCTCGTCCTCCTCCTTAAAATATGGATTAATTCTTGTGATCTTCCACTGGCCAAAAACATACTCATTCTTGGAACTCATAATATCTTACAGAGATTAAGCAGCGGACCAGCCAGGGGTTGACCAGCGGTTTTCAGAATTTGAGGTAATGCCTCGTCAGGCCCTGTCGCTTGTTTTTTTTTAACTGGAGAGTTTTTTGCAATGTCCGATGGTGAACTTATTATGTTATTGATGCAAGGAACAGGGAGGATATACCGTAATGTTCATAAACTTATTATTATTCATTAGGTGATCATGCAACCAAGACACGCCAATTTCGTCACGTGTATATGGTTTGAAACCCGGTGAAACACTGGAATGACGCGCTAACCATGAGTTTCATATAATATCAAACCCTTGAGTTTGATAAAGCGTCAAACTCTGGTGAACTCATTTCTTAATTTGAACAGTAATAATTTGAACTAACACCCTCTAATAAGAAGTAACAAGACATTTTTCAAGGAAAGTATCATAACGGTTGTTTATTTGTTTACGTTAATATTTATTTTACAGTTCTTAAAGTAGGCAGAGGGCCAGAAACTGATCACAAGAACTCTTCGAGACACCAAAGGACAACTCACCATAATGATACAATTTTTCGTAACAACAAACTCGCCGACAACATGTGAAAAATTCGTGAATATTTTCATTTTCTTTTATTCCTAAGGCGCGATTGAGAAGCTATTTTAAAAACTCGTGCATTGGGTTTCCTCAGGGTTTCCATACACTCGAAAACAATAAAAGCAATCGGCCTGCCGCCTCGGGCTTCCATCAGATGAAACCCTCGCACTCGTTTCTGGAATAGTACATAAAAGTTTTGACCCAAAAATTTCATGGAAAAAGCAGTTATCCGACCAGATCAAGTTGAAGATTTATCATAAAAAAGGTAAGTCAAGAGTTTTCAAATTTGGGCAAAATAGTAACGTGAGTTAGGGCTGTTACTACTTCTCTATCTGAATGTTTCAACGAAGCATCTTTGAACTTAAATGAGCTACATGTGTTTTTGACAGCATTCTTCAATAACAGAAATAACTTTGCCGACAAAAAGAGGAAAAAGAAAAAGGGAAAAAGCCAATAAGTGTTACATAACAATGCCGTGGCTATATGTACTGCAGCCGGGCAATTTTTATAGAAATTAACGTGAAAAAGTGTCGAGAGAGAGTATCAGATATTTGCTTGGTAAAGTTAGGCGATTCCAAACACTGTTGGTGTTCAAGTAAATGAAATATCGAACTTTAGTAAGAAAACCGCTGTGTGCTTGGCACTTGGCTCATCCATAGTCAGAAATATTGACCGCATTCCCGCCGAAAACCTCGGCATGCAAACCAAATGGAATTATTCTATGGTTTTTCAGCAATACCAAGCAATTCTGTAAATTACTTTTATTTAAATTGGAATAACATTTGCTGGGCACAGTCTTAATAGACTAAATCCGCCGTACTCGGAAATGTTCACCAAATTCCAAAGAACTTAATGCAAACCTGATAAGGCCATTCAATATTTATTTAGAAATACCAAGCGATTCAAGAGGACTAGTTTTCTGTGCTTTTGTCGAGAACATAGTAGTTCATGGTATGCCAAGTTCGGATATTTTCGGAATCGCCTACTCAAACATCTGACACCCTTAAGAAATTTGAAATTATTTCAGTTTTCAGTGGAAATTCTCTGAAAATTACCCGGCTGCCGCGCATAAAGCTAAAGCGAAATTTCATGTGCTAATTAATTCTTAATATATCATTACAGACGTATCAAAGTAGACAAAGTACCTTGTAAATCAATAGCTGTCGATAGCTGATTCACGTTGCTAAGAGGTTAGGTATAAACACTATGGATTAGGCATCAGCGCTTAGTATCAACACTCGTGGCGTGAAGTAATACCATCGTCAAGATTGAATAGATTCTTGTAAATATTGATATCCCAAGATTCTAGAAGGCACCTGTTACTCCAAATAGCACTTGTAAAAAACCGCCAAAGGCTGCATTTGCTGAACTTTCTTCATACTTTGTCCCTTCCTTCTTCAAGCAATCTCACAACATCTTACGAAGGAATGCCGTTGAATCAGTAAGCTCAATTTTGCATTTTCCTCAAAAAATATATATTGAACGTGTGGTAAATAATCCTATCATTTCCCCTTGACGAAGGTCGAAAGTTTGGCCAAAACATGGGGTTTTTTTGTAAGTTTCATGTACATTTTTAACTAAAGTTTATTATTTTTCTTATCTTTGTAAATCCACCTGGATAATTTTCAAGCACAAATGGCTTTAATAATGCTCTATTCCTTTGCAAGGAATACAAGAGGAATTACAGGAAACAGCCACAGGTCTACTTTAAAAAGATGGAGAGGTTACCAACGACTTTGGCAGGTTTACCTACCGTAGATGTATCTAAGCTCCTTAATAGGAGCCGTTTAACTGTTTTAACTTTATTAGCTCGTGTAGCAGGTTATGCTGAATGAGTCACGTGATTCTCTCTTGAAGTACTGTTCTATTCATAGTTGTTTCAAAGAGTGACATCATATCACATCAAAACAAACTTATATAATAATTCCGATGCTTTCATGGATTCTTATTCAAATATTAGTTAGCTGAAGTGTTTTCTAACTACACCTTTTGTCTTCCATGCGTCATTTTACATCCAAAGGAAAACGTTAAAGTTAAGTGATCACAGACGACAACTAAATAACCTGACAAACTTCGTTGTTTTAGACTCGAAAGCTTGTCTGATATCATGTCATTGTCGTTAAAGTATTAGCCTCATTTGACAAGGCTACTTATCTGATACAAAGTATATTGATGCATTCGTTGTAGTTCGTCAGAGCACAACTATAAAGCAGTGGCCTTCATCAAGTTCCAGCACGTGGGAACAGTTTAGTATTTATTTATATCTGCTGATCATTCTTTACAACCATTGCTGTCTTTTAGGGTAGGTTTTGTTTCTTCATTTGTTCTGCACCTGTTTCTACTCCTGACTTTTCTGATTCCGTAGTTGTTTCTAGATTCTTGTGTTTTGCGCAAACACCGACTGCAGGAAAAATATCTGACTTGAACTACTAACACATAGCTGGCTGGGCTTCGCGGTTTTCAAATACTGTGTTGGTGTTTCGATAACCCCTTTCTATCAATTAACTGAATGGGACATTATGTTTCGATGAAAAGTCTCGCATCCAAAGAGGACATGGTTTTTTAACTAATAAACTGAATATTCTACGCTGCAGCAGTCCAAAGTCAGCCATATTACTTCAATACCACGAGAGCCATCTGTACCTAACATCACGTTTAATGCAAAAATTTCAATTCATTCTGATTGACAAATGGAAATAAGTCGTGCAGGTAAAAAAAACGCATCTAACCCTGCGCCCCCTTAGAAAAAAATGGGAATGGATTCTATGGAGTCCGGATATTGATAAATATCGTAATAGTAGTTAGCAGATGCACTAAGTGTTTGGTTAGGTCCTAAGTTCATCGACAAAGTGGCAAGATTTCTACAAAAATTGAAACAGGATTAAAAACAAAACGATATTCTTATATTATCTTTATGTTTTTAGGTAATCATCACCACACGTGACAATATAACATATTGTGGAGACGGTTGACGCCTGAGTTCGAAATGAAGAAGACCGTGGTATTAGTCACATTTGGTGTCCTTGTGACCCTGTTTGTTTTGAACACCCTGATTCTTCTCTCATCATGGAATTTGACTCCACGTATTAAATCACATAAAACCTCCAGTCAGATGGAACTTCCACTGAGTTTGCAAGGTTTCAAACAAGAACAACACCCAAAAACAGAAACAAAGAAATTATTCACCACGCTTGGTATTAAGAAATCAACTGAACCATCTGTTAAAATCAACACATTTAACAAGAGGACTCCCCGATCTAATCTCATTATATTGAGCCCAGGCAGAGGAGGATCTTCATTCTTAGGAGGAGTATTTGATGCTAATCCTGATATCATGTATTGGTTTGAGCCGCTACACACTTTATCCCGCGGCATATATGAACTCCATTTGTACAAAGACAAAGAGAGAAAAATTCAGTACAGCAAAACTGCTATCAACCTAATCAATAGCTTTTTCAACTGCAGTTTCACTCAGATCCCTAAAGACATTATGTCTGCATTATCTAATAGCATATTTCGGATGCGAAGTGCATCACTGAGCAGTAGCCATTTGTGCCCAACAAAAAACAAAAGGAAAAAGTGTCTGCCTTACTCAGCGGAATTACTTAACAAAGTTTGTCACTCCTCTAAACATACTGTACTCAAGATCTTGATTCATCGTTTACCAAACAACACTCTGGAAAGTTTTCAGGAAATTTTCCAGCAACAGAGATATAATTCAAAACTGATTCACCTAGTTCGTGATCCAAGAGCTGTGGCATATTCCATGGTCAACTCAGTCCAATGGTTAAATGTGACCAGTGAATCACATCAAAGATTTCGCGACACTCTTCAGAGAATTTGTACCTACATTGAAAGAAACATTAAATTTGGCATGTTTTCTTCTCCTTCATGGCTAAAAAATCGCTTTCGAGTGATACGCTTCGAAGATTTTGTTATTAATACAACAAAAATAGCAAAGGATCTCTACAAATTTACAGGGTTTGATTGGTCTGTAAATGTTAATAAATGGATTGAAAAACATCAGAAAAAACCGCACAAAAATAATGAAAAGGATCCTTATTCACTTTATAGAGACGCTTCGCTGGTTATAAACAAGTGGAAGAAAGCTCCACGGAGCTTAATTACAGCAGTAGAGCAAGTTTGTGGTAATTTGATGGACATGCTTGGCTACGAAAGAATGATTAAATCAGAACAATTGGAAAATGAGAATCGTAACTCATTTGTGAGAACCTGATTATAAATAAACACTTCCAGAGAATCATTTACAATTTCTTGCTCACATTAAGTATTGTGTATGTATCAGTATTACACTGGTTTCTAATAGTCAAGTAACAGGGCATATCCAACTAACCGTACAATCCCTTTTGCCTTCAGTTACAGGCCCATTTTATTTTGTTTCCCAGAAATTACTAGTACCCCTACCAATTCTTTGTCATGATGTTTACGAAAAACCAAAACTCAAGAACTATCAATGGCAACCAATTTGCTTAACTACCATTTACCGTTTCTAAATGGCTGTACTTTTTCGTGGTTTATTATTTTTATTTCTTTCAAAAATTCTTTTATCATTTGTTCATCCATGTCAGAGTACGAATAAAAAGTTGCTGTTCACGTCGGTTAATCTTTGACAACAGAGCTGGGGTCAAGGCGACTGTTAGAGTCCTGAGTTCTTAAAGTTGTGCTGAGGTAAATTATATTTTTTTAGTAGTATCTTATTTCGACAGTTTTCAATCCATCCTCTTTCTTAGTTACACGACCCCGCCCCACCTCTGAATGCAATCATCGATCCTGGATATGATAAGCCCAGTGCTTACCCTAGCATCAAATTTACCGAATTTTTGGGTGATGTGCCATACTTAACTTAATTTGCAAAGGAAGCAAACCATCTTTCCTTTGGCTCTCTACTTCTCGTTCAAGCCTGGAAAGTTTCATAACAATATGGAAAAGAGGGACTACGTCTAAAACTTCCGAGTTGACTTCATTACGGTCTTGGTTTTAGATACATTTAACTGCCAAACTTTTCCAATGAATAATCACCTCTGAACCTTCTTTCCTCTGAGGAAAAACACGCACCTAACGTGGACTTGGGTTTGTGCAGCCACCACCGCCATTTTGAAATAAATAAACCCTTTTCCCCTGGCCTTTTAGAAGGTTTTTCGAATAGTTGGGTGGAGCCTTGGACTAATGGGTATATTTCATGGGTTGAATGTAGTCATAAACGGGAGCAATGTTACCCAATGTTAAGATTTTATTATTTTTTGAATCCTTGTTCTATATACACAAGATATACCAAGATTACGTCTTATAATACTGAATCACAACATCTTCATGCTCTTGAATATTTTGCACCTCTGCTAATGATTCAAGAATGACCAATAGAAAGATCCATTTTTAGTAATTTTAAACGTATATGGAATTTTCTACATAAATAGAATGGTAGAAATGGTAATTAATCGCTTCATATCTTTGGAGTCCGATTAACCGGACTTAATCAATGATTTCAAATATGTTTGTGCAACTGAATGAAAACTGGCCTTTATATACAAGAAGTTATTTCTGAATTAAATTTGACAAAAACAAAATGCATTTTACAAAAAAAATCTCAGCCCTGTTTCAGCTATATGTTGATGCTATCTGTTTCAATAAATTTTCTTACTTTCCTTGTTCACCATGAGGGTTAAGAGGAAGGCAGAAAGAGGAGAACAAAACGTTTTCACTTTTAATTGGCAAATCCTCTTCTTATGAGATTGCTTTTATTTGAAACAGGACAAAGAGCCCAGTCATAAAAAGATGTATTTGTACCCTGTCTCGATCTGAAACCAATGTAGGCATAAGGCAGCCAGTGGATATTAAGTTTCCAATCCTTAGATTGAAGCAAAAAAACAAAAACAAAACAAAAATTCTGCAAAGTATGAATGCCTTTAAGACTTATATCTTTTCACTAGTCTGTCTAAAGGTGTGAAAAGAAACAAAATAGGCAGGGTGAAAATAATCAAAACAAAGAAAAGGGGGAAACCAAAGAGAATGCACCTATATCCTAAATAACCCAACCCCAGCCTGTTTAATGCCTTCCACACTAGCATTGGCCATGAGTACACTTCTACACCTCTTCAGGCACAATCTTGTTCCTCTTCATAACTATAATGATTCTTCATATCATTTAAACATTAATAATCTAAGGCATTGTTAGATTTATTTCTTCATTTTTTTTTTGGTTATGCTGTCTTCCCATCTACGGTTTGTTATATGTTTGAACTTCAGAGCCCTCAGGTAATCTTCCCATGCAAAGAAAAACTGTTTAAAATCCACTCACAAACCGATTTACTCCTAAAATCTGAATAAAAATTTTCTAAACTTTTGGCCATAAATTTCTTATAATTTTAGCTCTGATATTAAGCATCAGATCAAATAAGATCCCCTAATTGTTAAGTTTTTTTCTTCACATCACCTTTGTGCAAGAAAATTTATTGATTCTGAGGACAGAAACTCCTCTTGGTGTCAAATCTCATCTACTTCAATGTAGTCAGTTCTGTTAATGGCTAAAAGAGCACTAAATATGCTTTAGACTTAAATTAACACTGAATTACTGCACATGGAGAGCATAATTTTGAATGGTTAAAACTCCATATGTGACAGAAAATTGTGAAGCCTTAAACACTTGTTAAATACTCTACAATTTCAACAGGTCCACCATTTCTGACGAGTCCAGGTCCACCTGTAAGAGGTTTTAAAAAGTGCGCAAATGTTGAATTGTAGACCAGTAAAACATTAGGAGTGCTATGTTCAAATTGAATGACTTACATCAACAGCTCCCTGGAAAAACTCAAACTGAAGCAAAAGTTAAATATTTACCAACCTTGGGAAAGGGTGTCTTGAGAAGAATCCAAGTTAAAATATAGAAATACAGGCTGTGGAAGGATCAAAAGAAATGACAGAATTGATAAAAAGCCAAAGCCACTAAAAAGAATAATTCAGGCTGAAACAGATACTGTACCTTGTGGTCTCCCATACAGACTTGTTTACCCATCATGTCATACACCACTGATGAACCTTTGCTCTGATCAAACACAACAAAACATTCATTCAAATACTAAGGTGAGTTCTTTGAAGCTCAGTTAGCACTCAAGTAATCAACATTTAACTTCCATGGCAGCTAGCCCAGGGTTTTAGTGGAATTGGTTTTTGAACAGTTCAGCTCTGGTGATCAATATGCTGGATATGATTAATATTTAGCTGAATTGAATAACACTCTGACTTTGTATTAAACCATTTTCTTGGCCATTATTTGTGTCATCCAAAGACTGCTGTCTAAACATCAAGTAGAGTACAGCAACACATCTACCCTACTACATACTATGAAAACACACCTGTTGCTATTGGAACAAGTTCTCCTGTGCTGATCAATAAGCTACCTTGAAGAAACTAACATTGCTTCTGATGATTGAAATGAAGCTTGTGAATTGTGCTTTCTCTTTATTGCATTAGTAAATGCATAGAAAATCAAAACAAAATGTGTTTTATTTTAAGTAGATTTTATGAAGGCAATAGACCACTCTTCCTATTGGTTTTGAGAGAATACACAAAAACTATTGTGTTCTCCCAGCATAGAAAATACAGCCTAGATATTACTTAATTAGTAAAGATTATGAAAACTGACCTGGTTAATTATGGCTCTGCTTGAGTGACTCAAGAATATTCTGTCACACCAAGATGGACACCTGAGATATTTGATATCACAGAAGGAAGTAACATTAATAAGAACAGCAATCTCATTTTTCTGCAAAAATAATGGAGAAATCTTGGTTTCCTTAACACTGATTTGGTTCATCAGTGTATTTGATACTTTCTGACTTGTTAAAATGTTTTACAAGGAAAAAAATACACTTGCACAGCACCAGTACTCAAAGGAGAAATTATCACAATGGATGAAGATGAAACACTTCTGACCTGATTTAGGAAACACTCTTTTTTTACACTACATAAAAGATTTTGAAAATATGTACCTTGAATCACTATATACTGTTGTATCCTTTACATTTTCACTGAAAGGATAGCTATTAAAAAAGAGACAAGAAATATTTCATCATGTTGATGCTACTGTACCCTATTTTTTTTTAAACAAGGGGGACTTTTGATACTATAGTCACAAAAACATTTTTCCCTGAGGCAAAGGGACAAAAAAAACAGTAATACATGAGCAGTGTATGTTAACAAAACGCTACACTTAAGAAAAAATCATAAAGTTGGACATTGTACATTTCAGATTTAATTAGTTAGTCAGCAAGATTCACACAACTCACCTCTAACTTAATAAAATGCCTTATTCATTTCACTGGTTAAATATACAACCTATTAAATGGTAATAGCTTTTACCTTGGATAGAATGAAATATCAAACTCAAACAGTCTGTCTTTGAAGACATCAAATTCTCTGTTGTACTTTGAAAACTTCTTTCCATTGTGGTATCGAAATATACTTTGGTCATGAAACTTGAAAATTCGAGGTTCCAGTGTAAGGAAAACCTGTCAAACAAAAAAACAAAAATCAAAAAACAAAGTACATCATACATTCAAGCCATTCATTAATTGATAATGAAAACATAATTTTTACCATTAGTAATAATAAAAAGAGCCAGTCATAACAAACAAACTTAAAAACAACAGAGGTACAATCATAATAATCTGAAAGTGTCCAGATCTAGTGTACCTGTATTCTGTCAGCAATAAAATCTCAGCCTCCTACAGAGCATCAATGAAAGTATTCTGTCCTTTTTGCTAAATGTGAGCCATGTGAAAGGGAAACTACCTTGTGTCAGCTCAATATTCACAATCTACATGTATTTACCTTATCAGCCTTCTTTCTGTCCCTGTAGATGATCTTTGAAGGAGTACTCTCACCTTCCTTCCTGATATGTTGCTGTGGAAGACCAGCACAGAGAGCCTGTAAAATCCAAAAAAACTAATGATGGTTCAGCCAATTGCATCACCACATATAGCCAACCATGGTTAGTTACAGGACTCTATGTGTGCAGTCATATGGTAGTATATTATGATTTGTGCATTAATCAAAGGCTGGAGTATCTTGTGCACACTTAAACTGCTTGTATATATGTATTTTTTTTTCATAACATCTATACTGTACCTCCACCACTCTCTTGTTGTCAAGTCTGAAGTTGAAGTCACCAAATAATGTATGGGGAACTACAGGAATTGAACTCTTTGTTATTCTGCCAAAACCAAGAGATAAATAGGATTGACAGTTAGGGTTAGTCACTAAGTATCTCCTGAGGAATAATAATAATTTTATTTATATAGCGCTAAAATCCAATAATTGTCCAAAGCGCTACCTAATTACAAAATAAAATATAAAAAATATAAAAGGTTAGAATAAAAAGTAATACTTATTCTGCCAAAACCAAGAGATGAACAGTGCATCCAGTACAAGTTAAGTTAAATATTAAAGTCACCAAGTATCTGCTAAGGAACTATCAGTTAGAATCAAAGTAATACTCATTCTGTCAAAACCACAAAATGCATTTTACAAAAAAATCTTAGCCCTGTTTCAGCTATATGTTCATGCTATCTGTTTCAATAAATTTTCTTACTGTCCTTGTTCACCATGAGGGTTTTTTATTTTTAATTGGCAAATCCACTTCTTATGAGATAGCTTTTATTTAAAACAGGACAAAGAGCCCAGTCATAAAAAGATGTATTGGTACCTGGTCTCGATCTGAAACCAACTTAGGCATAAGGCAGCCAGTGGATATTAAGTTTCCAATTCTTAGATTTAAGCAAAAAAAGTATCTCCTAAGGAACTATAAGTTAGAATAAAAGTAATACTCATTCTGCCAAAACCAAGAGATGAACAGTGCATCCAGTACAAATTAACTCAGATATTAAAGTCACAAAGTAACTCCTTAGGAACTATAGATCAGAATAAAAAGTAATACTTATCATGCCAAAACCAAGTGAAATCTAGCTTAGAGTGTACACAAAAAAATGACTGATCAGCTCACCTGTCCAACACATGATCAAGAGCTCTCATGCGATTTTTACTGTACACTGATGGAGTCTGATAATTAAAAAATAATAATTATTATTATAATACAAAAATAAAAAAGAGAATAACCATCAATCTTGGGACAAACTAAATTTTCATTTTTATTCAATTTGAGCATCAATACAACAAACTAATAGTTGAAAGTGATCAGTGAAACCTAACTTACCACCTCAATGGATACCAGGTTTGAAGCATCATGAAAAAGGTGAATATTGAGCAAATCAAACACACTGTCAAATAAAGTACAGAGCAAACTGTATAAAAACATGATTCTGTACAGAATGACAAACATGACTTTATTCATGTAAATTGAACCAGAAATCATAGAACATAATTGCAAATCATGGAATATTTCATTCAAACATTTAAGAATAGTAAAACTTGGTGCCCTAGTTATGATAAGTTACATCAATCTGAAAAATGCAAATAAATGAATTACCCAGTAGTAACTATGGACAAAAGTGTAAAGAAAAAGGAAGGAATGTAGAGAACTAAATGAACAATTTCTCTGACTCTAACAGTGACTTGCATAGAAACTGTTAGAAATGTCTACTCATCTCCAGCAGTTCCTCATCAAGTTACTATTCCAGTGTCATATAATGGTATCATTTCAATATACATTCTCACTAACTCAGAGATTGGGAAGGCTATGCATCATACTTATATGGTACATAAATAAAGATATGACATATCAAAAAATCCACTCACAGAACACAAGATATAGCCCACCCTATTACTGTAATGGCCCATACTTTTTATAAATGACCCAAAACTTCTAAAAGCCAGGGGCTATAAGCCATATGGCTGTTTTGCCTTCTCAGTCTCTGCTAACTATTTAATAGCGGAGCTCACAAAGCGTAGTCCCATAATTATACAAAATAGTAGTAACTCATGAAGCTGAAAAAATTTGGATGTACGACCGTACGACCGTACAAGGTGCTACTTTTAACATGCGTGGTCAACTGTACTGCGGGCACACCAACACCACGGCTTTGTTCAGTAGTCCAGCGGTCAGTGCACTAGGCTCTGAGTTGGACAACCCGGGTTCTAGTCCTGGCCGGGGCAAGGCATTGTGCCCTTGAGACATGCAGGGAAAAAAAATGCAAGCTCCACTTTTAGGCTTGGCTAAATCTATATATTATTTGCATTTGATGATGGTGGCAAGCCATACAGTACAGGGCTGTATTTAGCTGAAACACCTTGTTTAACAATAAGTTACAATTCTTTAACTGGGGTTTTGAATTTCTCAGAGGATTTAGCCAAAATAACTTTCATGTGCAAATAAACTGATGATCTTACCACTTGTTGATCTTCCACCTTGTTCTCATGAAGCCCTTCCGTGACCATTTGAACTGCAGAAACAATAAAAAAATAATGTTTAAGTGTGAAACTTAACAATTATTCCACAAGTGCCCCTGGGATATGACATGATAGATAGCCAAAAGGGCCCAACAAGCACACCTTACAAATTGGTGTACAAATTATCCCCCTTAAATGGGGGAAATAAAAAAAAGATTATTCAAATGGAAAAAGATAAAGCTAAAAGTGTGCGCAAAACCCTTAATTCAATGATACAAATTATGACCTGGACAGGAATGACTCAAGGAACATTTTGAGTCAATGTCATTTAAATTTGTGTAACTTTCCCACAAATTATATTTCAATTTGTTCCATACACTCCAGATATTCAACCTACTAAGTTTTTTTTTTAAGTATTACTTTAAAAACCCTTGCTTCCAGCTGCAGCAAAATATATAGTGAACTGATAAAATAACATGAGTGATAAGTGCCAGTACAGGCATAAATGGGGTAAGTTTGACCCACTATAACTCCTAAACAAGCATGGTGACACATCTTTTTTATTGTATTTTTCAAAACAGATAATGGTAACGAACATTTGAGGGAAGTTTAAACAAAAATTGTTGAATAAATTTTTTTTTGTGAGGAATCACTTTAACAACTCATTTCACTTTCCATGGAGTGAAATAGAGTAACAATGCAGCATGTAAACAGTGATGCCTTTGTTGTATCTATGACCTGATTGGTTTGTTTAAGCCCTTTCCTTGTGATTAAATTCAAAATAATTATGTCTTGTAAAGACTTTTAATTAAAGAACTATTGAAAGTGTACCTGGGGGAAAAAATCCAGTGGAAATTTTTCTTTCTCCAGGAAAGGGACATCTGTCAGATTTCCCACTTGTATCTAAAACCAGCAAGGATTAGTTGATCAAAAATACTCTTACCAGGTAACTAATAATAAAAATTTTTAAATTACAGTTTATTCAGTATATAGTATGCCAAAGGAGCCAAGAATATAATAGAGCTTGTTGACACTTTACTAAGGTAACATGTGTTCCTGTTCTGCATGACACAATCTCTGTTTACAATTTCTCATGAAATTTAAGTTAACTCTGTCTACAATTATGCAAATAGAATTACATCTTTATCATTATACACCTGTAAGCAATATAATTATCAATACTGATAGTATGCCTTTATTGATATCTTATGCAACTACACATGCATTTCAAGCAAAATACATGTATGGTACATCAAAATATATCAGTTTATAAGTTTTTGGAAGACTGGCTTCTGTAGCTTAGCCAGTACTTACATGGTAAAAAGATTCCAGATTCAACTGCTAGTTAAGCTTTTGGTAAATAAACTCTATGCAGAAATGTTAATGCACTCACCTCTTCTCCCTCAACCTTGGAGAATGTAGATTCTTCAGATTTTAAAAGTGTGAAAAAAAGAAATAAAAACAACCTCATTGAGTTTCCTAAATCAAAATAATTGTTTACAGGTATAGAATTTACACAACTGCCTGACTAGTTAAATGTGCTGTTGCAATTACCATAAGTAGCTCTGCAAGATCCAATTGCTTTCTTTTAGAAGTTTTTGTTCAACTCTCTTAAACTCACAGTTTTCTTATGAGGTGAGTTATTATTTCACACCAAATGGATCACATTGCCATCAAAGAGAGAATTTACCTTTGAAATTCCAGAGAAACACATCCTCTAAAGACTTGCTTACCAGATATATACAGCCAAGAGCCTGTTTACAAAATAAAACTGTTCAACAAATATCACAATAACAAACCCTTCTAAGGTAATCTTTCACTACAGGGTATGCAAAACCAAAAAGCATGGACAATGTGACATGTCTTTGATCTGTAGGGTATTTTAAAACAATTTCAAATAAATATAATTAAATATGATTGAAAAACTCATAGCTATGGATAAGCATTTTTTTTAGCTTGTAAGATGGTATTGATTTGGGATATCTCAAATCATCTGCATGATTGTATATGTCTGCAATTCATCTAAAAATTCTGTAATAATCTTTGGCTTTCCATTAGAATAAGCATAGATTTCTTCCACCAACACAATAGATGTCATGCCTTGGTTGCAACTATTTTCAGCTTCAAACATAATTTTCTTTAAGTGTCGAGGGTTAGGAGAAAGTATTATTCTCTGACTTAAACCAAGATGGTTGATTTGAAGTAATGCAATGAGCTAGTAGTACATCTCTATCCCTTAAATCCCTTTAAATCCTTGTCAAAGCAAAGTATTTAACACAGTGCATTTCCTTGATATGCTTGAGACTGTGCCAGGAACTACTCCAAACAGTCATAAATTAAAGAAAAATGTGCAATAATTTCTCTCTCTCTCTCCTTTTTTTTTTCTAACTGAAGTTAATAATGTTTAAAATGAAACATTTTCCATGCAGAAGGTACAAAATGCTGCTACAGTTCACATGGTTTAAAGGTGGGCTATCCAAACACAATTTAATTCAAAATAATAAAGGCTTATGCTCTATGTACACAAACCCATGAGCAGCCCCAAAGGATGATGGAATTGGATTTACAAGCTTGTTAATTTTTAAATGTTTTCTTTTTTTCCAATATAGGAGCAGTCATTGATGCCCCAATACTAATAAACCGTCAACTTATTCGTGAAAAAAAAACACGATAAATTGTGGTGTCTAATCAATTACTTTAAACATCAATTATTCTACAAGTGAAGGAACCAAAACAAAAAACTGACAAAGAGCCAACATGCCTGTAGCACTACGCTGATTTTCGTTTAAGTTAAATGCCACAAAATTCCCAACTCGCGACAGTACAATCTGTTTTCATAATAATAGAAATTAAATAAAATTTCACCCTGGTAATTAGGGTTTATTAAACGAGACAAACAGAACAGTAAAAATTATTTCTTTGGACCTTCAATAGTGCTCACCGTATATTGTTCTTTTGTACGATAATCTTGATCGAACCATGCTCGCACTTTGTCGAATTTTTCTTTCAGCAGTGATTGATCGATGAAGATCCTAAATCACATAACAAAAATGATTCGATTACAATACGCTTTCAAAGTCCTGCTAATATATCCACAACAAATTTTCAAATTAAACAGAAATTGAGGGCATCCATCTTCTGATTAATTCTCACCGGACAAATTCTTTAACTTTTTCTAAGGATTCTTCGCCTGAATCTTTCCCTCCACTTTCTTGAAAATGAAGTGCTACTAACTTTGGCTTGAATCTTGTTACAGTCTACCAATGAGAATCCCAAAAAGATTGCACAGATCGATCAACAGTATAATACCACAAGAATTTCGCAAAGTGGATTTTACAAATTTCATGCATGTAAAAGAACAAAAAGTTAACTCGACCTTTCACTTTTGTTCATAGACCCCTAATAACCTACTTACAGTCACTGTTTCTCGAATCCAGCGCTCCTCCAAACCATCTCGCTACAACGAAAACAACAAAATTATCAGGTATAAGTTGTTGATAATTACCAACATGGGAATAAAGTTGAGAGCCTCCTTTTGTAAACAAGTTGGACACCAACGCAATAAAGAACATTTTATATTTAATTATGAATTCGCAATTAAAAAAGAAGTTTATTTAAAATTTTGGAGCATTAGTAAGGTAAATGGCGAGGTGAATCTTCGTGCATCAAATCTAAAGGCAAGCAGGACATTGACAACATCAACGGTATTAAAGAACAACAAATAACATCAGTGGTGTCTGGAATATAACTCACATTTTCGAACACTGAACCCACATTTGCTGTTATAAACAACACAGGCACTAGATGTTCTCCCATACTCATGTATTTCTAGCCATATCTTGTGGTCTTGTCTCTATTGTCGAGCACAGTGTGTGCAGTTAGTGACTGTGTGTGTCTTCCGTTTCCTTTTCGCGCCGGTAGGCCTCATGGGATCGTACCTCCCACACAGGCCTCCGAGTTTCCCCGATTACCACAATTAACTTTAAAAACCTGCTGTTACCTTGCTTATCTAAATTACTGATAAATGCTGGACTAGCGAGTGATCGTTGAAAACACGCTTCAATCGAATTTTTTTTTTTTTAATAGAAAGCACTGAAGCAAGTTTTTTTTCTGTAAGTGCTCGTATGAAGTTCGGGATTGGTCGGGTGAACTCGGAGCTCTTTTTTATTTATTTTTTTTTGCAACATGCCAAACATGGAACGCCTGATGGTTCTGCGCCCACTGCTCTGTATTGCCGGTAAAGGTGGATTTCCTTCGCATGGCACTTTAGCGGTCCAATGTTTTTTCCCAATTAAGAAAGGGCCCATCAGTCTTTTTTGGAAAGCTTAGTCACTATATTGCTTATATTGATATTGCTTATGAATATGTAACAACTCATTTGCGGCGAATTGACCCTATTATCTCTTGAACAAAGATTTACGTCAAACTTTCGTGACACCGAGACACTATACACAAAGCTTTAAACACCAGAGGACAGTCATTTCCTTTTCAATGCTAACGAAACGTTAACTTGTGAAACAGAAGTCTTTCTTTCGGCGAGGCACGACAGCACGCTATGGAGACGAACACGCTCAAAAACAGGGCTTCAAACTTACCAGATAAGAGAGCTGATAAAGAGAAACACGAATCCGAAAACTCTAAAGTTTTGTCATCAGATCGAACAGTATGGATTGTTTTCTTCTCCCTTCTCATCGATCTCCTAGCTTTTACAGTCATTCTACCGCTTTTTCCATCATTACTGGAGTTCTATGCAAACAACAAGCAGGTAAAGTAGGACTCATTCACTTTTTACGTTGCACGTTAGATCTATGCATATATATATGAAGTCCTTGTTGAGTTCTTGTTTCACAGTTTCATTCCACATACATTTACGGGGCAGGTATGTTATGGAAGGGAAATTTTGAGATACAGATAACTGTTGTAATTCCAATTTGCAAGGTTTAACCTGATTTTTTAGTGAATTTTACCGATAACCTACAGAGTTTCAGCTGTATTTTGAGACTGGCTGGTTTTTCCTGTTTGTTTTGAAATAAACACATATTGATAATTTATTCAAAACTTCTCATCGCTACTACAATGAAAGAGGAAAAAGTGTCCATGACTGTCACAATAGAAGTTCCTTGATATTGGTAAACCAAGTTGCCCTTTGTTTTAGAAATGAAAATGTCATCTTTTGAGTGACATTCAAAAGGAGTAAAAACGGAAACAAAAAATTAAAAATTCCACTAATGTTGACCTAACTTTGCGGAAAAATTATTTTTTGCTATATTTTGTCAACAAATTCTTTTAAGTTAGCACCTTATTTTTGAATGAAAAGAGCTTTTTGTTGCAATGTTATCTACATGTGGGTAACTTTGGGAAAAAGTTTTTGATGAAAGGAAATAAGCGTCTCAGTTATGACCTATAAACTACTTTAAAAGACAAATTTTTCTTCAAGATCCAATGACAGTGATGAATTGCAGAAAGTGATCAAGCCTCATCCAAACTTGGCTCAAAAATCTTAGCATGAAAATAGCTAAAATTTGCTGAATACATTTTGAAATTTTGAGCTACAGATGATTTTTTTTTGAAAGATTTAACCCGCTTCTTAAATTAATTTTACCCTGGACTTTCAGAGTTTCATCAGAATTTTGAGACTTACTGATAATTAAGAGATATGCATGAGAAATGTAACTGTTCAAAAATATTGTGAAAGCAGTGCAAATTGAATTTGTTTGTTTGTTCAGGTCATCTAATGATAGTTTATCAACAACAGGACATAGGTTAATAAAAAGAAAAACCATTATTATAATGCTTTACTTTCATAGTGACACTTCTTGCTTATTGGCTTTGGTTATAGTTAATTGCAGAAAATATAATTATTTGTAAAATTGGCTTGTCTGCAACATTATTGTACAAAATATTTTACATGCACCTTGTGCCACTCTCTGTGGTATGACATAACTAATGCATTGTTCACATCCCTACAGGACAGTTTATATCATGCAATCATGCAAAGAGTCAATACATTCAGAGAACTTTTAGGAATGCCAGATGTTGAACGCTTCAATGTTGTACTGTTTGGAGGTAAGCAGCATGATTGTACACATGTAATATTTAGTAGCTAATAATATACGTGCAAAAATTAGGTATGTCTGATTGGCTGAAAACAGGTGCATTTTTCATGTAACATGAGTACAAATTACAAATGTCAAAATTATGTCTGTCTTGACTTTCTATGACATTTTTTTCTTTTAATTTATTCACAAGTAACAACATGATTGTGAGTGCAATTTGGTGTATACAAGCACTCATAGATTTTTTCAAAGACTACATTCATATTCTTCACACTGCTCTCCTTACTCTTCCTATGATATGGACATGGAGAATGTGTTTGAGAATCAGGAGTTTCTTAAGTCAGGGATCATTTCCTTCATTCTCATGACCTTTACTTATGATTCAAGGGTAATTCTGCAAAGAGAAATTAGAAGTCAGTCACCCTTGGAGACTAAAGAGTTAAAAAATGTTCCATGAAAATTTTCTGTAGGGTGTTACATTGCTTCTTAATTTTTATAAATGTCATAATAGGCTATATTTATTTAAGCTTAGCTTGGGGAACTTTTATTTTTTTTTTTGTAGGTTTCCTTGGATCACTGTTTTCTCTTCTTCAGTTTATCTGTTGTCCTTTGATTGGTGCAATGTCAGATTTTTTTGGAAGGAGACTGCTACTTATGCTTTGTATGGTGAGCAAACCCTTGGCCTTCCTTAAAATAGAAAGGTTTTAGTGGAAAATTAAATTGTTAAGCTGAACTTGAATCTTAAGTGCTTAATTTATTATGGGAAAGACACAAGATGATGAATTTTCCAAATTTTTTTATCCTTATATGTCCCTTTTTTGTTTCTTTTGGATTGCTCTTTACATTTTCTCCCTGAATTTAGTGCTAAATTTGACAAGGATTGCTCAATCTAAACCCTTTTGAAGAATACATTTGTTTAATTGATTGGGAAGAATTGTCTTTCAGGTCAGTTCTCAGGCATGCATTGTCTATTTATTGTACAGTAAACAATCCCCCATTCCCTTCCCCACCCCCCTGCTACTGAAAAGGAAAATTTTAGAAACTTTTTTTTCTCAATATGGATTTTGTTGTGGATCAAGGCAAGCATAAAATTGTATTTTAAAGTAACTCATGCTGCATGCTTCATGCAAAAATTACCTGTGTTTGATTTACAACTTTTGACACTCAACATTAGCTGTGGCTTCAGTATGTCACAAGGTTTAAAAGTTATTAAAAATGCTACTACCAACAATTTTTGGTGTACAAGTGTCATTAGGTCATTTGAGACAATCAGATGATGGTTCTATTCTACATTTAGTTTTTTTTGTGTTATTATATCAAGTGATGATGCAGGATGTTGGTAAAAAATTGATTACTACATTGTGGAGAAAGACACAACATAATTATTAGATATTCTATGCCTTTAAGATGAACATGCTCATAAAGTATTTCTTTCTTTTCACGATACAATATCCTATGCATAGTAGTTGACTGTAACACATTTTAAAAAGTATCATGTCTAATTATTTCAGGTGGGAGTATTGGTTTCATATGCTGTATGGGCATGTTCATGGAACTTCACCATCTTTGTGATAGCCAGGATCATCGGCGGTTTGTGTAAAGGGAATGTGACAATTTCAACAGCTATTATTACTGATGTAACCACTGTGAAAAATAGAGGCAAGGGAATGGTAGGTTGTTCCTTTTTCCATTCATGAGGGTAAGAATAATTACATCATGGAAAATTTTGCAGAAAGTTGTGACATTTTATCATGATTTCATTTTTCTTAGACTTGAGAAATAGCTGAAACTTATTTGACTTATTTTAAAATGATGGATAAATGACTAGCTTTTAGTTAACAATAATTTGTCTCTACATTCAGTTTTACAACATAGTTTTGAATACATAGGATTGAGGTTTGCTTGAAAAGCTGCAAACCTATTATAATTGTTAGTGATTTAGAGGTTGGAAGCATTTTTGGGACACTGAAAAGCGATTTTATATTTCATTCATTTAAGCCTCAAACATTGTTATCTACATGTACATATGTGTACACATAGTCAAGATGTGTTCTAAACTGAAAAATGTAATTTACCTTGTTAAGAGTATTACAAAAATATTTTTTCTGGGATGTTAAGATTGCTGACGAGAAGAAGCAGGGAATGTGGTTGGAGAATGTTTTTCTTATTTGTCTCATTAATTTTTTTCTAAAGTGTGAAAAGTATATACACGGATCAAAAAATGTTCTCATTTTATGATTGCAAAAAGTTTAACTGAGGGTATCAAGGGAGAGTCAGAAAGGATAATGTAAACTGACAATGTTTATATCTAACTTTTATTTGCTTGTCATAATTTTTCCTCTGAATTCTACCTGTCAGTCCTACTGATGCCCCCACTCTCTTTCCCTGCCAGAAATTAATACAGTTAGATATGTATACTTCATAAATACATGTATTGACAAAGCTTTGTGTTACTAACAGGCTCTTGTGGGGATTGCATATTCCTTTGGATTCATTATTGGACCAGTTGTTGGAGCTGTTTTTGCTAAGAGGTCATCTCTCGAAAGTGGAAACCCATATCTGTTACCAGCTCTGTTTGCCATCACTTTGACAGTAGCAGATTTGATGTTTGTCTATGTGTGCCTCAGGGAATCTCTTCCTAAAGAGAAAAGGGTGATGCATTTCATAAAGTTTTTTACCTTTCCATTTTAAAAGTAACAAAAAATAGAGTTTCAAAACAGTGGAAAAACTTATGATTTAGGTGTAATTGATTCTATTGATTAAAAGAAAGAAGGTATTGGGAATGATACACATGCCAAGTTTCAAGGTCAGTAATACTTAGGCTGTACAGGAAGAACGTGAAA